ATTCAACATATTCAGGGACGTATAACCCGACTTGTACCTACCCATGAACCTCCAAGTAAACCCTAGACGAGGCCTGCATGCACGTGCTTTCATCTTCGTGCATCCCGAGTCGAAGAAGATGCTCGCACTGCGTTCAGAGTTTCCCAAAGGCTCCCATGTACCCACATAGTACGTACATAAAGTACCCATATAGGGACACGCCGAAGCATCTACTCTGTGGGCACATGGAGTTTCAGGGTTTGTTTACCACGAGCTCCGAAAAGTTCGGAGCACGGATTAAGGGTGATTAATGATTAATGTAGGAATCTGATTAGGAAACCTCGGGCCTTTATTAGGGTTCCTTATATGAACCATACTATTTTGTGGTTGTAGGCCCAGGGTTTCTTAACCAGGTTCCTACATTACTTCACCCTGCGGGCATGCGGCATGAGGGTAGCAAGTTTCAGCTCGTTGGAATTTTACTTTGTGGTGTTGCCGTCGTGTCTTGATTGGCTTGTACTGCAAGTTAAGCTGTGTCGGAGGGCTTGAGCATTGCTAGCGGTTGTGGCTGCGCCTGGCTTTTGTGGAATGTCGTGGGCTCGGACTTGTCATGAGCCTGATGAGGCCAGTTTGCATCAATGACGAAGCTTGCCCATCCTCCGAAAATCAATAGCACTAAATATCACCAGACCCTAAAGCCCATTTCACGTCCTACATAAACGCCTCGCCCCAAAGCTGCACCACTGCAAGTCCTAATTAAAGCCCTCTGTGTAGTCTGTGTAGCCGCTTTGGCTCAAGCTCGACGCCTCGTATCTCAAAAGACATCGTATCTCAAAAGACATGGCGAGCTCCACGGACTACGCCTGGATTGACGAGATCGTACCTGGCGCGCTGATGGTGCAGCCTGCTGTCTGCACACATATTCTCATCATCACGGAGCAGCCTGTTCGAAGGGGTGCAACGGTCTTCATGAGCACAGTTGAGGTGAATTTCCAGCTTGGCATCCACAAGGTCGTGCAGCCCGCCGAGTATACAGAACGCAACGGACACGTCAAGCTGATCATCCGCCAGGAAACACTGCCAGATGGCGAGCAAGTCGACTACACCGACTACACCTTTCCAGTTCCAGTGGGTGTACGGCCCTTGTACCTACCGTCGTGGTTCAGACACATTGGGTCCGTGGAATTGTCTGGAAGCGCTGGTTTCTTGCGGTTTCGTCGGTGGGAGAGTTGGGTACTTCCAGGGCTTTGAGATAAGCCAAACCACAGCCTTCAAGGAACGGTCTGGAAGCGCTGGTTTCTTGTGGTTTCATAGGTGAGTGGGTTCACCTCTTGTCGCGTGCCCACGCGAGCGAAGCTTAATACGCTAAGATCCAGCCAAGGAACAGCCTGGAAGCACTCTTTCTTTGTCTTGGCGGTTTCGTAGGTGGGTCGAGTCCTTCCATGGTCTTTGAGGGCTCCGACCCCTTTTGTCGCCGCAGCGCTCTCCAAGCTCTTTCCGCATTTTTTTGTTTGGCCCCTGTCCTCCGTTGCTGCGATGACCCAGTGCTACACGCAGGGAGACTTGGTGTGTCGCGAGTGCTTCAGCGACCGCTTGGAGTATGAGATGAATCTAATGTTTCGGGTCTGTAGGTTTTCTCAGGGGTTATGAGAGCTAGGCCATAGTCAGAGCTAGCTTTGTTCTGGGTCTTCCTCGCCAGGAAGTCCGTCTCATCTGCCTGGAGTGCAGTGTGGTCGATGACAGGGGTCCCTTGATGATCCACGACATCGACGAAGACCGTGGGCTCGGTCCAAGCTTCTATTCTGTCCAGGGTGGATCTCTTAAGTTTGCTTAAAGGAGGGTGTTCCTTTAGCTGCATCGGTTCCGGGTCTTTAGGGTAGTTAGTGTCTTTGGGGTCAGGAGGACCACATTGACTACACGCTCTCCGAGAGCCGGTCCAAAGACGGGAAGGTGGTGTTCGAGGTTCTCGCTCTGGGCTTGGGGGTGTTCTTTTTTGGGGTCGTCTTCCTTTGTATTTCCTGAGGGTTCTTTCTTCTAGTCCGGATTGGTTCTAAGGGGGTGTGCTGCTTCGCACCCACCAGGCCCACCACCTTCACAAGTCGGACCTCTCCAAGCGGCGTTGGCGCCGCACGGTCCGCTTCCGCCACAGGTGGCAGGGATAGAGTAGCCGAGCCGGGACTCGGGGTCTTAGCGCTGCATTTATCCTAGGGTTTCTTAGCTAGTCCTCCTTACCTTATTAGAGGCCTTCGCGTGACGTTCGAAAAGCGGCCGTTTGGCTTCCATGCCATCCGCGGCTGGCTCAAGAACTACGCGGCAGGCAGCGGGGATGTGATCCAGGGGCCAACAAAATGCATGGGCCAGGTTTTGAAGGGGCGCGACCTGGCCAGAGCCCTTGCCAAAAAAATGGCGGGGCTGGCTCACCCGAGCGGGCACGAGCCCGTGCGGAGGGGTCCGCGGGTGAAGCGCGAGGAGCGCGAGGATTCACCAGCTCCCTCGGACTGGGAGAACTGAAGAATAAGAAGCTGATCCTCCTTCCGGTTGGGTGGCCAGATGCAACGCAGGCCATCGCCCGGACCATCGAGAAAATCAAGTCGAAGCAGTGGAGCCATTTCACGGCGTTCTTCGCCGCGCAGTGTTTTGTCGGCCTCGGGAAGACAAGCAGTTCGCGTGCGCTTTGGCACAGCCACTGAGCAGCTCTAAACTGGCCAATCTGCAGCTCCCTGGCGCTGGCGATCCATCACTGCTCTCGAAGACAACGTGCGAGGAGGGGCGATGCAGCTTCCGTTGCAGGCAAACAGGGTGCTCCCGCCAGTCCTCTACCAAGAGCTTCCTGGCACTGGGTTGGGTTAAAGTTATCTGGCCACTGCCACCGTTTCGACTGCTTGCTTGCTGGACGCCTTGGGTGCTCTGGCTTGCCCTGATGAGCTGCCTGGTGGTGGCGTTCGGCTTATCCGCATCACGGAACTCTGCATGGCAGGGCATCTTCGAAGCGTTCGGAGAAGCATGTGTGGCCGTCAGTGAGGCAGCCCAGGCAGTCTGCAGTCTCCCAGGTCGCTTTGGTGCCACACATGCCGAGCCATGCTGGTGGCAGGATCAATGGGCCGATTTGCATGCGAATGCGCAAGTAGAAATGGTTTCCCAATCTGCTACGTTAGATGTCCGTTTGTTTGTCCTCTATCGCGTGCTGGAGCTGATACAGGAGGGTTTCCCAGGGGCCCGGATGGGTAGGAGGCATACAGGTCTACATATACATGTTTTCGTCATTCTCCTCCTGCTCGACAGCCCCTGCAGCTCTGGATGTAATGATTTCTGGACTCGTGCAGGACGTGCATACGGAAGCGGGGCTTCATGCTGGAACACGAGCGAGAGGAGAGGGAGTTGGACAAATACTACGAAGACCTGTTCGATCGCCATGAAGCTGCCAGGTATCTGGGCTTGCCACGCTGAGATGTGCCAGCAAAAAAAGTGGAATTTGTCTGCAGGTGTCGTGGATCCAATTGCGACAATGTGGCAGCGATAGGTCCGGAGCAGCCCTATGTTCTGTGCATGCGCTGGAGGGAGGGTCAGTTGGATTCGGCGGCCGCGCAGATGGAATATGGTCCATCTGTTCTAGATGCACTACATGCATAACATCTCATTTACATGATCGGAAATTTGTTCTATCAAGAGGTGCAGCGTGAGCGGGAATCAGTCAGAGCGACGATGGGTGATTAGGATGATGACCCACTGATACATGCAGTGAGGGTGGGGGTCTTTGGCTGGCGTAAGACTAACCACCATCTCCAGCGCAGAAGTGCCTTGTAACTGACCTTAGGGCAGGAGCAAAAAGGAGATCAACCCAAAAAAGCCCTGTGACGCTACCCTACCGAACCCTGACAAAAGCCTCCGAGAACCCTATATTAAACTCTATAGGAGCCACATATATATATATATATATATGAGAAACCCTTGACCTTAAATCCTCCGCCCTATACAACCCTCAACCCCAAGCCGTCTGCTGCGCGACGCTGGGATCCTCACTGAGTCGCTTGGTCTACTTAGCCGTCGACACGTGGGCAGCGACAGAGTCACTGATCCAAGGCCGGCAAACTCGAAGATGTAGAAGTCTTGGAGGTTGGTTTTATGGTTTGTCTTCTGGGTCCGACAAGGGTTTTGTGCCCCGTCCTGACTCCCCTGACAACCCTTCTAGAGCCCTCATGGTACCTGAAAAGAACCAAACTTTGTTGGACCTTACCGGCGCCGTCACTACAAGGATTTCGGAGGTCGGGGGTGTTGCGAGCTTAGGGTTTAGTGGTTTCGGGGTTTGGGGTTTTGGGCTATAGGGGTTTAAGAACGGGGCTCGGGACAAGAGGTTTACATGCCGTATCAGGCCCTGGCTGAAAAGTGGAGCTTCTCAAGCCCTTAGCAGCCAAACCCATAAGAAGCCCTTGCCCAAAAGGTCCATGTACTTGTGCATTATGAATATATACTATAGCCTTGAAGTAGTCCCTGCATGTATGTACTGTCGGGCCAAAGTATATGGTGTTCGGGCCCATCGGACCCGTAGGAGTATTCTTAGGGTTTAGGGTTTTTAGGGTTTAGGGACCCGAGAGGGCAAGGCCCCAAGAGAATCTTGCTCTTCTGGCTCGAGCTGCATTTCGGAAAATTCGCAGCTGTTTTGCAGTTCGGTGGTTGCTGCCCATGACTTACCGTAGGCCTCGCTTCTTCATGGTCCGTAACAGCAAGAATCCTGTTATTTACTAGTCGTTTACAGTATTGTCTTACATATCAGTGTCGTCAGGATGCTCTTATCGACAGTAGGGTCTCTGCATGGGGGGGCTGTTTGGCAAGCAGACTTCAGACGGAGCCAGGCAGTACTGCTTTTGCTTAGGCAGATGTTTTTGCAACTGGGTTGCACAGTGCATGCAGATTGCCTCGCCCCATCTTGGCACCACATGTGCAACGTTATGCCTATAAAGACCTTGGCAATCAAAGACTGTTATGTGCGTCGACGTAGTGCGCGCCTCACGTTGTAGCTAAAGATGTCCCGTCGCTTTGCAGCCGTTGTATGGCGCTGCCTCCGCCTGGCGCTAACTGCTGCCCTCGCCGTCGTACTGACGGCAACACTCGCGCTGGCACCGGAGGACATCACGAAGCAAGAGCCAAAAACCCAAAACAACCGATGAGACCCGACGCCCGAAGCCAATGGAACGGGACAGGGAAATCCCGAAGCCTATCCCGACAATTCGCTAAGCTACGCAGCTATGCCTGCCTCAGAATGCCAGAGATGAGTTTCTTATCAAGGACAGATCAGGATCCTCATTATACAGACGAGCAAGCGACCTCCGTTTGAACAACAACATCCACATCGAGCGCTTCGCATATTCTAGTACGTAAAACCTTCATGAAACCGATGAAGCCCTTGTGAAGCCCTTCCAACGCAGGCTTTTAATTGGAGGGTGGGGGGGTCCTAATTGTCGGTAATCATTCATGTGCTAAGAGGGACCTTAATTGCGGGAATCCTACGTATGATGCCTAACTTAACTACTTTTAACTCAGTCCCCCGACCCTTCAAGCATAAACCATTGAGTTTAGTGTTTAGGGCCCTGAACCCCCAATCCCAAACCCTATAAATCCTAAAGCCTGAGCCACGCACCACGATAGAGATCCTGGATCCTCATCAGACACATGGCACAGGCAGCCTCTTTGAGCAGGCATTCCTAAGGTTAGGGATAATGCAGGGGCCTGAATATTTATAGTTGTTTTGCCCTTGCATTCTGGAATAGCGTGAGGGACAGCCAGAAGACTATGAATTACTGACTGTTCCGCTCGCTCTGATATTGAGCATCGGATGTAGGGACACGCAGGGTGTATGATTTCGGACCAGCATTCGGGTTCATTGATGTTGGGTTCTGATGCTTTTCGGTTTCGGTTGTGGGGTTTGGGGAACTTAGGGCTTACGCAGGGTTGCGCGACACGTTGCTATGGTATCTGGGCTGCTCCTTCGCTTTTTGGCTGTGGTACTGCTTTGCAGGCTTTAATTCCTGAGAATATCAACGAAACCCAGTTACAACCGTAAGCCCCAAACCCCCTATAACGTTAAGCCCTATAAGTAATCACTCCGATATTTCCTCAACCCCCAAAACCACAATCCCTAAACCCCGTATAATTTCTAATCTTAAACCCGAGAGCCCACATGCTTCCTTCGAGGACCAGCCGGGGGGCAGGCTTCTCGCTGAATTTGCGGCGGGCGACCACCAACAAGGCCGAATCCTGTTGGTGACGGGGCTTTCAGGATTTAGGGTGTACCTGTAGTCTCCATTGTAGTTCCTTTTTTGGTTTGACCAGTTTTATATTAAGGATCCTAACAGGTAACCCCAAAAAGGAACTACAATGGATACTATAGGTAAAGTTTAGGGTGTCGAGGTTAGGATTGGAGGTTAGGCTCCAGGTAGGGTTGCCTGTAGGCCCAAACCCCATGAAATTGGAGGCTATGGCTCATGACCGCTTCATGAAAGAGTTTCAGTTAGGTACTGCCCCCATGCAGTAAGAGTCTATAGCAGGGCTACTATCCAGGCCCTAACATATCTATATTATGAATATTATTCAACTATTAATGAGTTGGCGCCGTACCCAAAGTATCAGCTTTAGAACAGTAGGTTTTGGGATCATTAGGAAGCGTGTTGGGTTTAGCTGGGGACCGGGCTCCAAGGTGTACAGGCCTGCATGCCTCAGATCGGAGGTTTGGGGCATATTATGCAGTAATATAAGAGGATCAATAGGGAATAGATAGCATTAACAGTGTGTTCTGCAGTTATATATATATATATGTATATATATATATATATATGTATATGTATATATATATATATATAAATTATGCAGTAATATAAGAGGATCAGCAAGGAATAGATAGAATTAACAGTTTGTTCTGCATTTTTTATACATTGTGCAGCAATATAAGAGGATCAGTAAGGAATAGATAGCCTTAGCAGTCTGTTCTGCAGTTTCCATATTAGCCCTAAACCCTAATATTACCTGATGCAGGTGAGTCCTGGCCATGGCAGACGTGGATCGTAGCCATCCTCTTTGTGCTGGTATGTGGGTGTGGGCAACTTCTCTGCTGCCTCGCCATGACTTAAGCCTAGTAGTAGAGTAGGGAACCTTTAACTTTTTGGGGTAGTATAGTCCCATATAACCAAAAAGGTTAAACTTTAGTTCCCCATGAGACCCGACAAGTAGGTAAGATGAGGACCTAGACCATAAACCCCAACTAGGACATACAGCTCATAGCAGATGGTAAGGAGCTGTGTGGGGTTACACAGTCAGGAGGCTTCAACGCAATGGGCTGTCTTCAAGCGGTTTCGCGTAAGGGTTTTGGGTTGCTGTTGAGAGTATCCCACGGACGAAGTTAGGCTCCGCAAGTCAGAACCCCTACCCAAGGGCTCCATAGTAGTTCCTTTTGGGGCTTCATCAATAAGGTAATCCCAAAAAGGAACTACTATGGAGCCTATGGGTAATAGCAACACCCCTTCGCTACAGAAAGCCCTAAGCCCAGCTTTGTCCTTCAGGACCGCTTGTTCTTATAATCAGAACCCATACTTTTAGGGCTTTAGGGTTTAGGGTTTAGGGTTTAGGGGATACATGCTATCAATAGCCTTTCTACGGACCTTTGAAGGAGCCCTTAAGGATTCTACCCAACTCCAAGGAAGAGCTCTTGTCCAAGGCCTGTTTTTTGGGGCATGATGAGAGGGCCAGAGGGGCCTTGGGTGGGCTACAGAGTTTTGAAGAGTTATGGGAGTTTCCGAAAATTAGGCGGGTACCTTCTTTTGGGGTCTTTCTGGTCAGGATCCTACTATTGAGAATACTATACTAGGGTGCCCTCTTTTCGGAAACCCCCTTATAGCAATGATAATCGCATCCCCTTATAGCTCCTATGATGGTGGTCGTAGACAAAGCCTTACAGCCCAACACCTGATTTCAATTCTTGAGGCCTTCTAGCAGGCCAACCCGAGTTCCTGGTCCTGCTACGAACCAGCCCTCAGAACAAGGGGCTCAGGCTCGTGGCTAAACCCGAAGCCAGAGCCTCCAACGTAAGTGGTTTAGGGTTTAGGGATTAACTCCAAACCCCAACAGCATTCAAATCACGGCTCTACCAATCGTAGGTTCTGAGCCATAGTGACAAGTATAACCTTTAAGCCAGTGTGCCATTGGATCCAGAGCCAATCTCCAGAGCCTTCCATTCAAAGCCTTATTATCACAGCCATAACAGCTCCATAAAATCCTACAAATCACCATAAAACCCTTTACACTATACAAGCCGAGGTTGTTTCGGCTGCCTTAGAAACGGCTGGGACCGGGGCGATTTTCAGACCTTGGGTCCGTACACGCCCATCTCGCAGACGGACCTGTGGCTTTCGGGGCAAGGGGGGTTCAGGGTTTAGGGCTGAGAGTTTTGGGTTTAGGGCTTAGGGTTTAGAGTTTAGGGTTTAGGGCTGAGAGTGTTGGGTTTAGAGTTTAGGGTTTAGGATTGGACGCAGGGTTTACGTATGCTGCAAGGGGTCATATGACCAGGTTGTGGGAGTTTAGAGTTTGGGGTTTAGAGCTTGGGGTTTAACGGTTGACGATATAAATCCTGCATTATCCATAATAAGGAATATACCATAATTCCCATAGTTTGGGGTCCTTAAGGTGATGCAGGATTTATATCATCAACAGAAGGACTTTTAGAACTTACCGGACTTGCGGGGGCTTATGGCTAGGTGCATGGGGATGTCAGGGTGCTGAAGGGTTTGCAGGCTTTTTTGGTGGGCTCGTACTCGGAGGTCGGTAGCTATAAGTCGAGATATATGTCCTGTATTTTGGGTTATATCTATCCTATTCCTAGGATGCCAGTAGTACCCATATTCCCTTTTTGTAGTCCTGGCTTCCCTATAAAGTTACCCAATACCAAAAAGGCAGCCCTTTTCATTCCTAGGTTACTGGGCATCCTAGATTCATAAACCCTACCTACAACTAACCATGAACCTCGAAGTCGGGTTTTGTAGCTTTGCTTTGATTAGGACGGGTGGGCCCGGTGGGCCTTTAGCCCTGAACCCTAAAGTCTTAACCCTGAACCTTAGAGCTCGAAGCCCTGGGCCAAAACCCTACCTATAGCCTCCATTGTAGTTGCTTTTTGGGGCTTCCTTTTAGGATCCTTATTATAAAACTGGGTTACACGAAGAAAATGGAACTACAATGGAGACTTTTGGTACACCTCGAGCTTAAATCGGCCAAAACACGAAGCCGCAGCTCTTTCTCTGAGGAGTTTCAGGCAGATGGCTGGGCGGAGTCCAACGGTGTGAAGCCGGATCATGCACCTGGGACTTTCCCCAATATGGGAGTTTCCGAAAATTAGGGGTACCTTAGTTTGGGGGTCCTTATAATCAGGATCCTATTATTTAGGGTACTAGATTTGGGTTCCCTATTTTCGGAAACTCCCACATAGAAGCTTAACTTTAGTTGCCAACATTACTCTTAGGGTTCCATATTGTGATTAGTACAACATGCCCCAACACCTATTGTAATCATTAAGGCCCATGTATTAAGCGCCCAATGGACCCAATAATTACATACCTGGGTTTGGGATAGAAGTTATGTAGGTTGTTATTTTGGAGAGTATGTAACAACTTGGTACTTGGGCCCTTAGGGTTTCCATTTTATGCTGAGTATGTACCTATAGTCTCCATTGCAGTTCCTTTGTGGGGTCACCTTTTAGGATCTTGAATATAAATTGGGTTAAGCAAAAAAAGGAACTACAATGGAGACTCTAGGGAACCTTCAACCTTTCAGGATCCATATTTAGCATGGTCCTACCGTACCTGGCACCGAAGAGGTTGCTGTTTGTTTTTTGGTTCGGGCGGTCATATACACTACCTATAGTATCCATTGCAGTTCTTTTTTTGGTTTAACCAGTTTTATATTCAGGATCCGAAAAGGTAACCCCCCAAAAAGGAACTACAATGGAGACTATAGTTACCAGGAAAATTAAGCAATGTTGGGGCCAGGGAAGTCAGCAACTTCAGGGTTTGAGGTTTAGGCTTGAGGACAGCCCGGGAAGGGTCTAAATACCAATGTCTTAGATACTTTCGGTTTAGGGTTTAGCTTTTACGCGTTCCAGTTTAGGACTTCAGGCTTAGGATCTAGGGAATTTCAAGAGAAAGCGCTTTGCGTCACAATAAATAAAGTGACCCGAGTCATTAGGAAGATAGTCTTGCTTAGGGCTCCGCATCCTAGCTGTGTTACAATGCGACTTTTCCGGTTCAGGGTAGGGTCCGAAAACCATACATTAGTAGGTCTGCTGGCTCTGACGGCATTGCCATGCGATATTGGTAGTTGGACCCCTGTGGCTTCAAATCAAGATGTGTTCCATAAGCTGTTTGGCCTCGGGGTTCAAGATTGACTTTTTGCGGCAGGGAAGGTAGAACTTCCCAAGACCAAACAACAGCCAAGGAAAAGATTGGGCGCGTGCTGCGTCAGGAAATGCGGCTGATGATGCTTTATCCTGTGATTTCGATTCTGGCCGCAGCCGACAGCAGCTGTGAGAAAGGGATGCCTCTGTGGGGATATGCGCTGTACATCCCGCTTCTCCTTCGCGCAAAGTGGATTGAGATCAAAATCCTCCGCGCCCTAAACGAGGACCGACGGGCGTTCTGTGCTTCCCGTACCTGGCCTTACTGCGTAATATGGGGGCCTCAATAATTAGAACTGGGTTTTTGGGGGGGTTCCTTTTTATATTTATAGTATAATAAACCCCAAAACCCTCTTCCAATAGTATTAAGGTCCCTGTAGTAGGGCACTATACTCCTCCCCAGAAGTACTCTTGATTTGGAACCGCCACGGTCATTGTCAAGGTAGGCAAGATCCCCGTTAAAAGGGCGCAGCTTGTTGACACTTGGAGGCGCCAGGTGATAATCTTTCAAATGCCTATAGTCTCCATTGTAGTTCCTTTTTGGGGTTACCTTTTAGGATCCGAAATATAGAATTGGGTAAACCAAAAAAGCGAACTACAATGGAGACTATAGGTACAGTATTGGGAGTTCAGCTTTTGCAGGCTAGGCTTCGTGTGGGTTTGGGGTTCAGGGTCTAGGGTGCTCAGGCCTAAACCCTGAACCACTTTTTTGGGGAAAGAAAGAACATGAGATGATGAGCAGCAATGGGGAAAGGGCTAAACCCTAAACCCTAAGCCCTAAACTTATATAGACTTACATTGGACCTACAGTCTCTGTTGTGGCTCCCTTTCCCCAGTTTTGCGCTCAGGATCCTCTACTATAACAACAGCAAACCACAAGAGGTCATTACAGCGGAGGCTGTGCATGACGGATCAGGGCCTTAATAAGTAGATGTATAGTTAATTAGTGTATCTACCCCACGCTTTTCAGGATAGCTAATTCCGGGTACGGTTTGCCAAAGGCTCCATGTGCTCATATATAGTAGGTACTTAGGCCTTAAAGGGGTCCCTATATAAGCACTTTAAGTTTAAGTCCTAAGTACCTACTATATGGGTACATGGAGCCTTTGGGGTTTGCAATACAACGGCAGGACTGGAGCAACATCTTCCTGGCACCAGGCTCTGCTCGGGAAATTCCAAGCTTTTGACCAGACTGCGACTGGTTTTTAGCCCACGGTTTAGGGTTTAGGGCTTAGGACTGCGACTGGATATAAGCCGTTCCTAAAATCCAATAATTCTGAATCCCTAAACTAAAGGCCTAAGATCACAAAAGCACAAAGCCCCGTAGTCCCTGAAAGTTCTAAATCCCAAACCCTCGAAGTTTTACAGCCCTTGGTTCCTCCGCATCCCGCTTGAACTATTACGAGACTTTCAGATAGTGGGTTTACAACTGGGGCTATAAGTACCCTAAACGCTGCGACCTTTTCTGCAGAACTATCTCATAGAATCATGAATCCTTTGGAAGAGCCGTTTTCAGTCCCTTCCACAAGTCTTTGTCTGGAGCCCTTACAGATCCGACAGCCCTAACCCTAAGACAAACCCTGCTTACGAAGTCATTTCAGACTCACGTCCCAGGGTTTGTACAGTTTTGTTTGGCAGTTCAGTGTATTGTTGTTAGAGGGTTTTGCGCAGTCGTGCTTGTGCTGCTTTACAAGTTGCGCAGCATGCATTCGGATTCGAATATTAGGATTCAAATCGCGGCCTTCGTCTAGGGGTCTGCCGAATGAACTGCTATCGCAATTCCTTGCAATTCCTTCGGTTTGTTCCAGTATCAACCCACCCGCTCAAAACATAAGTTAAATGCACAAAACATCCGTCTATTCGCGTAGGCGTCGGTAGTAGGTGACCAGCGTTGCAGCTCAGGGCTTATCGGTGCTGCTAGGGTTGCCAGGGGTTCAGGAATTTCGGGCGTATAGCGTCCGCAGGGACTACAAGTTTTTAGGGCATTCGGGCTGACGACGATTCGACAGGTCCCGGGCTTTTGCGTTTAGGTCTTACAGGGGTTACAATGTCAGGGCTGTTTAGGGCTGAAAGGTTTGCAGGGATTCATTGTTGACCTTAATCAAAAAAACCCAGACCCAACCCTAAACTAAACTTTGGGGTTTCCGAAGGTTTCTGGCTGGGCTGCCTGGAGCATGCCGACTGGTTCACAGACGGTGCTCTTCCTGTTCAGGCTCGGTGCAAGGACTCCCCAAAACCCCTCAGATGACCAGCGTTTGCCTCAAATTTTAGAGGGATCCGTTCACAGGCCCACAAGAGAACGCCGTCTGTTAAAATTTCCATGCAACCCGAAGTCTTTAATATAGGGGTATTGATAATTAGAATAGGGTTTTTTTGGGGGTATGCTACAGTACTTGTATTCACGAAGGAGCCCTCGAATCAGTAGTATTGGTAATTATTCAAGCCCTTGCATTAACCCTAAACCCGAACTCCTAAATCCTGAACCCTTTTGGAGTGGGAGTTTGAGTTTCAGGGTTTCCGGGTTTGCTCGTGAGTTTCTGCACTGCCCAATTGGGGTTTGGCGCGTTAGGGCTTTAGAGTTTTAGGGTTTACAAGCGATGACGGTGTTTGTTACCTTGAGCCCGCATTCGGTTGAGGCCTACCTGTGCGGGCCCAGTGTGACAGAACGCTTCGCCGAGAGCTTCGAGCACCTCGTCAGCTTTTTTCGGAGGGAGGGGGGTGGTATAGAAATTGAGCAGCGGTTTAGGATTTAAAGTGTGCAGGGTGAGGGTTTCGGTAAGGTATCCCTTTGGGTTTGTCCAACTACTAAGCTCGTTCCAATGCTATCTGCTTTCGGGGGTTTAAGGGTAGATCATGGTATCCCGCCTGATGGTACATACTGATATAAACTATGAGGGTTCATATTGCTGTTTGTGTTGTTTTGCAGGAGCGGGGGGGGGTGTTAAGGCTTGAGGTGACTATGGCCTTCGGGTGTTGTTTTCAAGTTATAGGCGGTCCTTAGATGTATGACGAGGATGAGGGGGATACTCCTTTTATATACTCTTTCTGACGCCTATATGAGGGTTTCTGTTGCAGCTAAAGGGTACTATTCAAGTGCTCTGCCCCTGTGGGGCTAAACTCTGCAAGACACTTCCAACCCTAGAAGAGGCTTGCCGCCCCCTCAGAGCACTACAAAATTCCGCGAAACACCCTGCAAAATCAGAGCCGCCAGGCTTTCCATGGCCTGGCCTCTCGCCCCCATCGTACGAATGCTCCACTTCTGGGGCGACCTGGCTGCTTCTATCTCGAGTCCTGAACGACTCTTTGTGGGGATATTGCCTTATAACTAGCCCCTCCATATTTTCTGGAATCATAATATGGCATACCATCAGTCCCTATTCTATTTATGTGACTGGGGTCACTGTTTGTAGCCCCCTGTTCTTAGAGGATTGCAAAAGAAGCCCGAAAAGACTCCTAAGGTCTTAGTTATCATATTTGTTGCATAGAATTCGCTACATTCCTATTCTTTCTGTGTAGTTATCTAAATTAGAACCCTTTTAGGAACCACAAAGAAGGCGGCACCCTTATGAAAAGGACCCCAATTTTCGAGAACTCCCATAGAATCATAGAAACCCAACACCTTAAAGGAGCGCTCCCGTTAAGTCCTCGGAGCACCCCTTGCAGAACCCTTTTAGAACCAAACTGGGTGGTTGTCAAAATTAGGGCCCCTTTTTTGGGGCCCCTATTGAAGTACGGCACCGGATATTTAGGGTACAAAAAAAGGGACCTTAACATTTTTGACAACTACCCAAATGCAGCCCATAGGAGCCCCCAAAACATGCCCTGTGTCTGCTCCGAACCCTGAGCCCGAAGCCCGAAACCTCAAACCTTACCTATAGGCTCCATTGTAGTTCCTTTTTTTGGGGGTTCCCTTTTAGGGTTCCGGTTAAACCAAAAAAAGGAACTACAATGGAGACTATAGGTAATCCTGTTTAGGATTTAGGACCTTACACCCTAAACCCCTAAACCCTACACCCTGAACCCTAAAACCTAAACCCCAACACCCGCTCAGGTCTGCTCACCGTAGTGCTCGGATTCGCGGCATTAAGTCAGCAGCTCCTGGGCAGCGCCGATCTCGGAGACTCTCAGCTGAATGCAACCCTGAACCCTAAACCCTACACCCTAAACTCTAAGCCCTAAGGGCTTAATGATTTCTCCTTATTCATCAGTTGGGGGGTTTAGGGTTTTGATGTGCGGGCGGCGTTATTTTAGTATTCAGGGCTTTCGGTGTTTGGGCTCATTGGTTTAGACAGGAATTGCGGTTTAAATAGTGCTCACGGTTCTCTTTGTAGACGAGAAGAGTAAGTTGCCGAGATTTCGCAATTGACGTTATTGGCTGTTGGTTTTGGATTGAAGAGACTTATATTGATTAGGGCGTAGTGCTTTAGGTGGAAGTGAAGTGCCATGTGCTATTTAATGGGGATTCATGAGTTCATCTTATTGGACGCAAAGGTTTTTGATAGGTGTGTGTGAGGGGTCTTGGTTGTGATGTAGAAGGCTGAAAGTGCTGTCCTACAAGAAGTTGCAATGTTTGCGAAGTGGCTTGGACAGCTCTGCTCCAAGGTTCGTTACAGTAGTGCTCCAGAGTTTAGGGTTTAGGGTTTAGGGTAGACTTGAATACTGAAGCTCAGCCCTCAACACTAACGCACCAGGACCAAGGCCTTTACCGGTCTTATTTAAGGTTTAAGGGGTCTCAATACCTGTTATACGTGCAAACGCCCATTCAAAGGGTAGCGCAACAGACAGCCTTTGCAGATGGTACTTGTCGGGTAAATGTTAAAAGACTCTCATGGTCCTTTAGAGGCACCTATACATGAATACCATTTCCGGGCCCTGATCCCTGTACAGATTCTTGTAAACCGTCACAACACCCCAGACCCCTGGAAGGATCCGAAAAGTAGATCCCTTAAAGGGAGGTTCCTATAAAGTACCCTTAGTAGTATAGGGCCCCAAATTAGGGGATCTACTTTCTAGATCCTTCCGGGGCCCCTGGAAGGATCCAAAAATTAGATCCCTTAAAGGGAGGTTCCTATAAAGTACCCTTAGTTAGTAGTATAGGGCCCCAAATTAGGGGATCTACTTTCTAGATCCTTTCGGGGGTCTGGGACCGAAGGAAACACTTGAAGCCACAACGTATCGGAGGACTGTCACGATTTGGCAGCCGATGTGCCCGGCTTCGGTGCGGTAGCCAGCTGGTACGAAGACTTTGAGCAGGAGTGGGGTACAGGGCATTCGTTCCCGGACTGCGAGAGAGAGAGAGAGAGAGAGAGAGAGAGACAGAGAGATGTTGTATATTTTTTCTATATGCATGTGTGCACGCACAACATCTGTGTATGTATACTGTATACAAACATACTTACAAGTATGTATTTGTATGTATATACATGTATGTATATATATATATATATGTGCGTGTGTGTGTGTGTATGTGCATCTGTTAAAACCTGGTCATATACCGCGTGCACATATCTGCATATACATATATACAATGTACATATGCGCATACATTGATGCATGCATGCAAGATATAGGTATAAACAGGCTCATACACACGTTTAGAGAATATGCAACCGGAGATGTTTGATGTTTCGTTCAATGGTCGGGCCGAGCTGCGTTGCTGGGTAGACCTGGTAGCAGTCTGGCAGCCAAGGATTCGGCGCACTGCAATCTCAAAAGCTACAATCGGATCAACAAGGCTACATACATAGGCAGTTTAGCGTTATCGGGTAGCAGAATCACGAGACCACATCGCCACTAGACCATGTCGCATGGCCCTACAAATGGCCCTACAGACAAAGTGGTGGCCCTTTCCTGAATTTCTGATCCCTCGGTTTACGGTGCAGTGACAGATCCCATTCATAAAGCCGAGTTCCTTGCCACAGCCGCATACAGACCTTTATCACTGCGGTCCTTGAGCCCTAGACCCTAAATCCTATACCTCCTTCTACTTATGATATTTGAACCTAAACGCAAACCCAAACCCTAAACCCTAAACCCAAACCCGGGACCCTTATATTTGGGATCCTTGAACCCATGATCCCACGAACCTAAAACCCAAAGGCCTTAAGACGCAAACTCGAATCGTCCGATCCTGTCTCGCGGCTCGTTGGGTTCGGGGCTTGGGCTTGTGGCTCCGGGCTTTCGGAAATGTTGGGATCTGGGCTTTGGGGATGGCGGGTTTTGGGTTATGGTGTGCCGGACTCTGTGTTTTGAGTTTCTCGCTTTGAGGCCTTGCTTAAGGTTTCCCATGTCGGCCAGGACCACGGCTGGAAGCAAGCAGCGCAGGCTCGACTTTTGTACCGGGTTACTTGTTAGTTGTACGGGTAAACTGTAGCCATAGACTAGATACGGTTTATAACCCTACTTATTTGTCCATCTTTCTGTCAGCCTATCAATCTACCTGCTTACCTCTCTGCTTGTGTACCTATAGGTCTAGCTATCTACCTAGCTATCTATGCTTCTACCTGCCCTAAAGCCTAAACCCTGGACTCTAAACCCTTAATCCCTAAAGCCCTAAACCCTAAGCCCCTAAAGCCCTGCAAACCCTGAGCCCGAAACCGTGTCGACTGCGAGCTTCCAGGCTTCATTTCCCTTGTTGGGGTTTAGGGTTAGGGCTTTAGGGTGTAGGGTTCAGGGGTGGAATACCCATGGTCTACTTTGATCAGGGGATGTTGGAGTCGCTTTGCAAGGCCTTATCGCTGACATTTTATGTGAGGTCCTGCATGGCGGGCTGGCTGTTTGAAAAGGTGCTTGCGGGCCCTCATGCTGGCACATGTTTCTGGTAGCTGCGATCGAATGACGTGGATGTTTCAGGGGGGTTTGGCATCGACAAGTCTGAAGTTTAAACCCTACACCCTAGCCCCCTCATTGCTTTCGGTGTTGAGGCTGGTTTGGTGTTGGTTCTGCTTGGAAGTTGCGTCGGTGGTAGCAGCGGTGCCTGGCGTGCTCAAGAATGTAGTTTGCTAGTGCATACCGAGGTCTGAAGACTTATTTAAGACTTATTTAATTCAGGTATGCCTTCACAGCCCCTGTACAACTATAGTAACTATAGCACACCATGCACCCATAAAACCCTATCCTGCCCACTGAGAGCGTTACAGGCTGATATCATGTATAACCTTTTCAGCACCTAGCTTTTTGGACCTTCGACCGTGCATCGTTCGAAGGCTACATCTCTCAAGGGCCTGCGGGTTGCAATACCGAGCACAGACAAAATAGGCTACATGTTGGGTGTCATGTTGAACTCTAGAGATACTAGTGACCCTGGACCCAAAGCCTTAAACCCTAGACCCAAAATTCTTTAAACCCTAAACCCCTAAACGCGAAATCCTTCAAATCCTAATCCCTAAACCCTAAATCTTTTAAACCCTAAACCCTATATTCGCATTTCCGTTCTTGCATTACCTGGCTCTCGATGCCGGACCCAGAGACTCCAATACCCCTACATTAAGGAATATAACTTAAATCATAATATGAATCCCCTTATGGTTTCAGGTATATTTTGAATCCCCTTCTGATTTTAAGGTAAAACATGAATCCCCTTGGAATTTAAGGTCTCTTCCTTAATCAAGGGGTATTTGGGCTCTCTGGGGAGGAGACTGGGTGTCTCTCAGAACGCGCCCTCTTGACGTCCGTCTCCAAGGCTCATCAAGTTCCGCTTTAGGCTTTAGAGATTAGGGCTTTTCCTGGACCTTAAGAAACCCACCTTTTCAGGGTCCCTTAATGCAAGTTCCTCATAAAAGGTAGGTTATCTGGGGTTAAGGTAAGATTTTGTGGTCTAAGGGTTTAGGGTTTAAGAGTTGAAGGTTTATGCTTTGAGATTCAGGGTGGAGGGTGCATGGTTCAAGGTGTATAGTTTCAGATCTATGGTGCGTATAGGGTTTAATCGGTGCAGCCGGCAGGGTTCCTTGGTAAAAGAGCGAATAAAGGTCTCTGGAGCGCCGCCAAGTCCGTCTGCAGCGTGCCATTCGATCGGATAATATGGGAGTTTCGGAAAACTAGGAAAGACAAAACGATCCTGAATAGTTTCGTAGAGTCACCCTTCAACAATGTACCTTTGATATAGACAACCCAAGCAAACTACATGAGTATGCATATGTATATGTCTTACCCAAGGGCTCCATAGTAGTTCCTTTTGGGGGTTCATATATAGAATCCTATAAGGTAATCCCAAAAAGGAACTACTATGGAGCCTATGGGTATGTCTTACTTTCATACACAGCGTGAATGTCAGATTTGCGGGGTAATGTTTACGGCGGCTAAGTTCCAGAGCGACAGCCGCACTACTAAAGCGCGCCCAGCCCGTCAGTACTACAGCAGCGCCCTAATTCCTAAACCCCCTCATACCCGCCCTAATCCAAAGCAGGCCCGCTTCATCAGACAATCCCCAACCCTAAAGCTAAACTTCTAAAGACCTTAATCCTCAAAACTCTCAACCGTACACCGCTACCCTAATGAACCCTTACAGTAGAAGCCAGAAAGTTGGAATATAATTATCATAATGCCTTTTAAGGTAAATTATAGGGGATCCTGCCATTATTCCATATTCCAACTTTCTGGAGTTCCCTAAACCCTAAACCCTACACCCTAAACCCTAAACCCTACACCCTAAACCCTAAACCCTAAACCTTTCTGGAGTTCCCTTTATAGCCCTCTGGGAACCCAGACCCTGTCAACTCTCAACGACCCTTATCCCCTGTAAGATGATGCGCGCTATCTTTTTTGTAGTACGGCCAAAGCAACAGCTCTAAACAAGCATCTAACCCTGAGGTTCCAGAGGACCCGATAATTAGGTGCTCAGTTTTCGGATAGTAGTTATGTAGGTTAGGATTTTGGAGAGTATATTGGACCCTCAGGGTAAGGGGCTGTGTGAGAAAACACGACTGCCGACGTGGACTAATGTAGGAACCTGTTTAAGAAACCCTGGGCGTACAACCTCGTTCATAAACGGAACCCTGATAAACCCTAAACCCTAAACCCTACACCCTAAACCCTAAACCCTATACCCTAAACCCTAAACCCTAAACCCTAAACCCTAAACCCTATACCCTACATCCTAAACCCTAAACCCTAAACCCTATAATGATAAAGGTCCAAGGTTTCTTAATCAGGGTTCAGCAGGTTCCTACATTAGTGACTGTATCGGAGGTCTTTCTGGAAAATGTCGCGCAGCTTTGGCTGCAGGCGTCTGGTGTGAGCTTAGTCTTCACTTTAAGGTGTGGGGTTTTATTCAATATAGGCTGGAAGGATTTTCAGTTTAAGACTAAATAAGTTCAGGAGTCCATAGGTATTTCTCCAAGCAACGTCACCCCATGCCTCCCGATACCCAGGGCTTCAACAGGGCATTTCGCAGGCTGTATCACAAGGTTTGAAAGGGCGCCATGAGGCCTCATTACAGTGCAGTATACGGTTTACATGGTGTTTGTTAGGTTTGATCCGGTTCTGTCGGGTTTCCTTAGGGCTTTAGGATGTCGGGTAGAAGCTCCACCGGGCAAGGTGTATATAGGCTTGGCAGATGTTCAAAAGCCTTCCTTGTCTGAGTCTCCAGGATTAGGGTGTGGGTTGTAGCTATAGGATCCTTAAGGGAGGGTGGTTCAAGGGGGGAGGGTATAAGGAATCCTTAGGGGACTGTAAGGGAACCTTAGGGAGTACTAGGGAGAATTAGGGATCACTAGGCTATATATACCCCCCTTGGACCCCCCTCCCTTAAGGATCCTACAATGTAGGTTTGTAGAGTTCAGGGTTAAGGGTGCAGGCTTTAGCCTGTACGGTTTCGGCTTTAGGGTGGAGGGGGAATTTGAAAGACCACATGATGTTTTCCCTTACTTGGAGGGTCGGGGGACTTAGTAAGTAGGTAGTAAGTAGACTTATAAGTGCCCTAAAAGGGACCCTACTTTGGGTTATAGTACTTATAAGTCCTTAAAATAACCAGTTACTAACTCCCCCGACCCTCCAAGTAACCCAAAGACTCAAAGACCTTGTGTTGTTGAGGCACTACCTTTCGTCTCCATTGTAGTTCCTTTTTCTGGCTTAGCCAATGTCAAAGGTAACCCCAAAAAGGAATTACAATGGAGACTGTAGGTAAAGATTTAAAGAGCCCAGTATGAGACCCTTAGCACCGCTGAGCATGAGAGTCATGTAAAGGCTTTGATGAGCTCCATCCCCTTACACTCCTAGGGCCCTGAGCCCAAACTTCGGCCCGCTATACAAACCCCAAATAAGGCCTTGGATAAGGTTGAGGGTTTAGGGCTTTAGGGCTTTATGTGAAGCTTTATACTAAGATGAAGGCTCATGTAGCACCCTAAACCCTAAACCCTAAACCGCCCTGCAGGCCAGTTTCTTCGCTTTGATCTTCGGCAGACTTCATCACACCGGCAAGGCGGGCCCTCAAAAAACGTCAATATCAACGACTGCCTTCTCATGAGGAGCGTAGGGCTTTCGGGCTTCAGATTCTGGCTTAGGGAAATTATGCATTCTTGAAGTTTCTTGAAAGGAAGAAGTTCGTGTCATAGTGAGGAAGAGCTTCGGAACCGGAGGTAGCATCCCGGCCTTAAACTGCTACAGGTCACTTGGGGCTTACTTGGGGGGTGGTGGGGGGGGGTTACAGAATCTCCCTGAACTCCCACCTAGGCCTACTTTAAGCCGGAATAACCTACCTTTTTAAGGACTTATATAAGGAAATGATAGTAAGGAACCTTAAAAAGGTAGGTTATTCCGGCTTAAGGTAGATCCTAAACCCCCAAGCCGCAAACATTGGGCTTTACTAGGGCTCCTAGCTCCGAGGGGCTTGAGAGCTCTCGGAAGCTTCCTTTCGGAAGTTTACTTTCCTGGGCTAAACCCTAGACCCCTAAACCTTCAAATCCAAACCCCTAAATCCCAAACTGCAAAACCCTAAACCCTAAACCCCAAACCCTAAACCCTAAACCCTAAACCCTAAACCCCAAACCCTAAACCCCAAACCCTAAACCCTAAACCCCAAACCCTAAACCCTAAACCCCAAACCCCAAACCCTAAACCCTAAACCCCAAACCCTAAACCCCAAACCCTAAACCCTAAACCCCAAACCCGAAAAACCCTACGCCAGAGGTCAAGCTGCTGATTTCCATGGGCCTCGGGCTGATCAGCTGCGACTCTTGGCAGGGGAAGCCAGCGACTCCAATATCCCTAAAGGGGTTCCTTTAAAGGGATCCTTAGGGGCTCCTTTAAGGGATCCATAGGGTTTAGGGTTTAGGGGACCCCAATATCCCTTAGTTAAGGAGTATTCCTTAAATTATGGTAGGATCCCTAATATGATTTAAAGGATATTCCTTAATTAAGGGATATTGGAGTCTCTGGGAAGCTGAGCCTCCCTCCTTGGGGTTCACCTGAACCTGTTGGAACCGCGGCTTAGAGATTAGGGTTTAGGGTGTAGGGATTTGTGTTCAGGGTTTAGGAGTTTAGGACCTTTGGGTCTAATATGGGTGCCTTTATACTTAGAGTACGGTTTAGAAGCAGATTATAATCTCATAAGAAGTGCTAAGGTATCCGCACCATGTGTTAAACTTTCCTTTCTGGGATTCCTTATTACGATCTCCTCGCGGAAGTCTGTAAGCAGGTAGGTTGTTGTAGGGCTGGGGTAGGGTTTCGGGTTCAAAGGTTTACAGTTTCGGGTTGGAGCTTTAGCAGTTACTACGCTAAGGGCCGAAGGTTCCAAAATACTAGGGCGTCGGGGTTTAGGTACCGTACTGCGTCACTGACGTTCGGGCTTCAGGGGTGTAGGGTCCATTCTATCCCAAAACCTTATTATAATTGTTGAGCCCCTTATCTTACACCTAAACCCTAGACACCTAACTCTGCATCAAAAACCCTCGAAACCCTAAACCCTAAACCCTACACCCAAAACCCAAAAAGCCCTCAACCCCTAAACCCTACACCCAAAAGCTGAACCCTGGTGCCGTTGAGATGCGGCTGCCATGTTCCCAAGGACACTTAAGTATTGCGAGAGCTGTGAACAGGCTCATGTTTTGGTCCGTTTGCAGGCCTACCCATAGGCTCCATAGTAGTTCCTTTGAGGGTTGCCTTATAGGCTTTTAAATATGAACAACAAAGAGGAACTGCTATGAAGCCCAGGGTACTGGCACTACTGTCCACCGGAGCGCTGCAGAACCTCGTTTCGACTGTGTGGCATGAGCGGTTCTCTACCTCCAAACCCTCATCCGTGGGATGACTGCTGGTACGATCACCACAGGTGGTAAGACTCCAAGTTCGATCCTTTGTTGAAGCTGGCAGATGAGGATACTGACTGTTGCCTTCGCTTTGAGACACAACCCGATGCTGGTCAGGGAGTTTTGCGGACCCAGATCCGTGTCTGGCGCGGCCGGCCGAAGCCTAAGACCGTAAAGCCCACCAAAAACCCTAACACAAACTGAATCCCAAGGAAGCGTCAAAGGAGACTCCATAGCCCTATCCTAACTGTGGTCCCAGCCCCTGAACCCAACACCCTTTAAGCCCTATCGGGCTATAGGGTCTTCTCTAAATTCTTCAAACCTACACCTAAACCCCTTACGTCAGCGCTAAACCCTAAAGCTTTGCAAGCCCTGTAAGCCCCTTTAAGGGAACCCTTAAAGGAGCGATGAGCCCTAATGTTCCGTATGGATTCCCTAAAGGATCCCTGAAAGGAGCGCTTAATGTCTGCAAAAACGCTTAAAACATAAATCCGTCAAGCCGTAACCCCTAGAAACCCCAACTACCCTCCTAAGTATCTTAGATGCCCGCTATTAAGGATGAAAAGATCTCTACTAAAGGGCACTTCGGAGTGCTGGTAAGCCGTAAACCCGAAACCCCTAGACCCTTAAACCCCTAAACTCTATAGACCCCTTTGAAGCAACCCCTATAGATCCCTTTAAAGGAGCCCTTATAATTTTAGCTCCCTGTAAACCTAAACTTTGCAAGGTCTGCAAAACGCTTCCCATGGCAGTTGGGCTTTGCCGGGCGCTGGCCACGGGCAGTGTCGGCCCCGAGGTGTGACAGGGAGGGCGGTTTGGGTGTAGGGTTTAGAGGTTTTAGGGTTTTTTAGGGGTTTTAGGGGTTTAGGGCTTTTGGGTTTAGGGTTTGGGGGTCTTGGGGTGTAGGATTTAGGGTTTGGGGTTTATGATGGGTTTCGTAAAGCCTTTGCGACATTATCATTATGGGTTCAGAACCCTCTACAAGGATTCCACGACCCGGTTTAGGTTTTGGAGTTTGGGTGAGAAACGTAAACAGCAAGAGTCGGAAGCACGGAGCCAGGTGGGCCTCATAGTACTGTCGTGCCAGCTGTTCGCCATCCTGGGCGTCGCATGGACCGTGGCGAAGCTCCTTGTTCTGCGGTGTACACTAGGTTTTTGGGGCTGAGGAGTGTAGGAGTTTCGGCGTCTGAGTGCCAGGGGTTTAGAGGATCTGGGTTTGGGTTCAGAATTTCGGTTGCAAACCGGATGGAGGATATCACGGTGATGTCAGTGCAAGAGTCTAATCCTTCCGGTCTCAATGCCACGAAATCCAGAGTTGTCGTTGGAAGCGTGTTCCAGGGTTACTACTTAGGTACTGCCCCCATACAGCAAGAGACTATAATAGGGCTCCTATCAAGGTCCTAATGGATCTGTATTATGAATATTATTCAACTATTACTGAGTGGGGGCCGTACCCAAGTTACTAGCCATGTCCAGAGCCACATCGAGGGGCTCGGCGTCTGTTGGTGGAGCATGGGTTTTTCGGTGGTGAAAGCTCTGGTGCAAAAGGGTTGAACAGCCGCGAACTGCAAGACAGAGCCCCTAAACCCTAAACCCTTAATCTCACCCACGGAACCCTGAGCGGAGCTTAGGACATTGGGCGACAGGCCGTGGCAAACGATGACCCTAGACTAGACCCTAAACCCTCAATCCAAAACTTCCAGCAACCTCTGAACCCGTAAACCCTGAGACTTACCCCTGAACCCTTAACCCTTGAACTTCTGAACCCTCAGCCTTTAACCCCGAATCTCGTTTAACCTTCAGCCCTGTAACCCTAAACTCTTAAACCCGAGGTCCCGAAACCCGACACCGTCACACCCTCAAGTTCCTAAGCCCTAAGCCATTAAATCCTAAATCAAACCCCTATACCCTAAAACCCGGGGGCATCCATTTGGGAACTCCGTAACCAGGATCTATCACTAGACTGTAGAAGAATCTTCAATTTGAGTCTAAGGCAGATTCCTGGATCTAAGGGGTGTTTGACCCCTTAATTATGCAAATTATAGCATCTAAGATCGGTAAGTCTCTGGTCATTAACCCGTGTCAAACCGCCTTTAGTGCCTGCAGATCTCCTATTTCAGAATATTTGTCCGAGGCTCCAAAAAGGCCCACCGAGTCATTTCAAGATGTACTACTATTTGCTTAAGAAACCCCAAAAAAATAAAAATAATAATCCCTATATTACCCCCCATAAGGAATATATTTTTTATTTTTTGGGGGTTCTTAAGCAAATAGTAGTGTAAGTTTGGCTCTCCGCGTGAGGCTCGTCAACTCCTTCGACTGCCCCTCGTGGCTCGGTGCATGACATACCTAGGATGCCCAGTAGTACCCTTATTCCCTTTTTGTAGTCCTAGGTTCCTTATACAGTTACCCAATACCAAAAAGAGAGGCTTTTTTAGAGCTGGCATTTCTGCGGATTCAGCTTAAGACCATACTCCATTACAGGGATCTCCAGAAAGTTGGCATATGGTTTCATGGTAGGATACCCTATAATTTACCTTAAAGGGGTTACGATTCTGATATTCCAACTTTCTGGCTTTTACCATAGGGCCATAGGGGCCCTGATGATTGCAATGGGGTTATGGGGTGTGCAATTCGAATAGAGGGTTTTCAAGGTTCCTTTAAGGATTTTCTACTACAAGGGCGCCACAAGCGGATTTTGGAGATGCCTTCACATTATGGCATTTGTTTCTAGCTCATAAGATCCCGTATCCAACGGCTGTTAATCATGAGACTCCCGCGATTTTTGGTTCTCTCTTCGGATACTAGCGGTTCTGAAAACCCACCTGGTAGAAACAAAAACCGAGGAGCGCAGCCTGCATGTCCCAATACCCAGCGTAAGGTTCACAACAAGCCAAATGTATGAGGCGTAGAAGTCCCTTATCAACCACCCCATAATGCCCTGTATCGAGACTTTATCCGAATCAGGAGCTTATGTAACCCTACTGAAGAGCTGTTGAAGCCCTTATTGAGACCTTGCACAAGTCTTACGGCGTTCTTATAAAGCCATTCCTCAAACGTATAAGACCATCACTTCGAGCCTTCAAGGCCCTTTACCAAAGCAGACAACCGAAAAAGCTGCAAAGGCACCTCTGGAATCTGACGAGTGGCTGTGTGCCCCCCGGGGTCCTGACCGTCTCTGGTTAGCATCCGAGCGCCAGGAAGCCAAATATTCTCTTCTCGTATATTATTTAGTATGTAGTATGTTATAGCCTATAGCATATCACACTATGTCACAGTATTTTATGGTATTGCCCTGTCTTTAAAGGCCTCAATTTTCTCGAAAGGCCTTGTTCGGGTAATCAGGGGGAATATGTCAGACTCTTAGACTTATATGGGTAGTTGTTAAAATAGGGGTCCCTTTTTAGGCACCCTAAAGAATAAGTGCCGTATTATTATAATAGGGACCCGAAAACGGACCGTGATTTTGACAACCGCCCATATTTATGCACGAACACTCTGGCTATCAGCAACCGAAGCTGCTAGCTCAGGCAGGCACCAGCCGAAAAGCTCTTTAGTATAGGGGCCGTAATAGATAATAGCTATACTTGTAGGGGGGCTTCGTCTTTATATTTATAGCAGAATGGGTCCAAAACCCTATTCTAATTATTAAGGCCCCTATATTTATCGAATTTCTACATTTACGCAAGTACCGCAGGAGTCTGCATGCACAGCTGTTCCTTCATGTGTATGGGTACATAGAGCCTTGATTTGTATACTTGCGCATTTTACACATGCACGCGACCTCTACACACACGATCTGAACATGTATACAAACCGCGCTTTGTGTATGCCGGTGTATATGAGCATGTTATGTAAAGGCCATGTTGCATAGATGTCGTCTACACACAGTGCATACAATGCACCTACAGACGTGAGCATGCACATGTTGCATTTGCAGAATCACACATCTACATGTACATAAAGGGGTTAGGGCTGTCAGGGTGTGGATTTTTGACGGTTAGGGCTTAGGGGTTTGGGCTGTGATACTTGCATATATCAGCGCGCCCGTGAGTGCGGAAGGCTTGCATCTGAAAGCACCGGACCAGGTCTAAACGCCCCAAACCCTGGAAACCCTGTAGTTTATACACCCCAAAACCTTAAACTCTGAACCTCAAAGCCCTAAACCCCGAACTGTTTCGGCTGGATTTCGGCGAATCATGACAGAGGTTTTTGGCGCAGGGCCGAAGCGAAGCGCGCCAACCCCAAAGGGGTTTCAGAGCGCATGTTCTGGCTCCACTGTAAACCGGCTCACTTCAGCGATCTCTTTAATCAGATCGCTTAAGGGTTTGGAGCGAGTCTACGTAGGGGAGCACATTTAATCGCCGTACTAAAGAGATAGCATAGGGCCAGACAAAATCCGGAAAAGACATGAAGAACACCCATCCGAAACTTTGAAGTTACCCATAGGCTCCATAGTAGTTTCTTTTCGGGATTACCTTGTAGGGTTTCAAATATGTGAACGGCAGAAAGGAACTACTATGGAGCCCTAGGGTAAGCATGATCATCCTGCAGCTGCCTGGGGAGATTGCCTTGGTCAACATCGGGGTTTAGGGTTTAGTGTAGGATTCAGGGTTTAGGATTCAGGATTTAGGGTTCAGGTTTCTTGCTTGGTGGGGTTTAGGGTTTAGGGTTGCAAAGCTCGCTGTCTAAGTATAAGGCATAACGGTACGACTTTCGGGTTTCTGTCTGCATCTTTAAGGGTTGCATAGGGGTTCTATAAGCAGTTTTGAGCAGGGCGTGCTGTAGTTTTCACATCGCAATCATTGGGTATACCTTATACGTAATGGTAGGCACCGTTTTCATTAAGGTAGATTCCCGAAAAAAGGTTATTGGGCCTCCTGCACATCGCATCCTTGCACATGCACCTCTCCAAGCCAAGCAGTTGGACAAGCTGCCCTGTCGCACAGACATGGCAGCAAAGTGATTCGCAGGTTCGTAGTGTGGGGTTACTGAAGCCCTAAAACCCAAGCCTGAACCCTGAACCGGGAGGATGCTTGCGAATTTGTATCACGGCCTAAGCTCCAGAAGCTCTTCCGAGCTCAGTAGTTGCCATACTCGGTATCGATTGGGGAAACTTGTTTAGGGTTGAGGTTTCGGGGTTTAAAGGGTGCGGGATTTAGGCTTGAGTCATTGTGGGGTATAGAGTTTAGAGGTTTAGGGTCCGGGGTTTAGGGTTTAGTGCCTGGGGTCCAGGCTTTAGGGTTTAGCTGGGACTCGGGATACTTTTCTATTTCCATTTTTAAAATCGAGAGCCCTGATGATGAATAACTTTGGGGGGGGGCTGTTGAAATCGACACCTGGCGTATGGTTAAACAGCACTGGGACCCCACATAACCCTGTCTCTTTAAGGACTTTCCATATAGAAAACAAGATAAGGAACACTAGGAAGGAGGTTTGTTGGTCCAGGTTTGTCTTGAACTATACAGGTCTTCATGATGCTGCTGTCAGGTTATTGCTTCATGAGGATGCTGGAGTCTCTCGGGAGCTTCATGCAGAACCGCTGCGACCCTGCCTGTAAGTCTTCGCTCTGCGTCACAGCGCTTGGAGTCTGAGAAAAGGTGCGTAAGACTCAGGGGTAGGGTTAGGGATACGTAGTAGTAAGTAGTAGTAGTCGTCGTCGTCGTAGTCCTAGTCCTAGTACTAGTACTAGGACTAGTATTAGTACTAGTCATAGAGCCGGTAACCCTTTTTGGGCTACTACAATCCCTATCGAACCCCATTTTATCTCCCAAAGGTTAACCTGTAGTTCAACAAGATGCTGCACGGGTAGGGATACGGAGGGGCATAAGAAGGATTTCTACAAGGTTTAGGGTCTAGGGTTTAGGGTGTCGAAAAAGGATGCTAGAAGGGAACCGTGGGTTTAGGGACATAGGGCTTTCGAGTTTGAAGGCTGTAAGGATCAAGTCTTACGATGTTTAGATCGTGGCCCGGGTGCTAAGATCCTAGATGAGTAGTATAGGAACCTGATTCAGAAACCGTTGGTCTTTATTAGGGTTCCGTACATGAATCCCCCAAGGGTCCAAGTACCCAATAATGATAAAGTCGCCAAATTCATAACCTACATAACTACTATCCTAGAACCCAATACCTATTTATTGGTTCCTTTAAACCATCAGGGTAATATATCGGGGATATAGGGCCAGGGTTTCTTAATCAGGTTACTACATTGCCCTACGAGTCCCCATCGGCTGTTAATGAAGGACTGCTTTCAATTCTGGAAGGCAGTTTAGGGATGTTTAGGGTTTAGGGTAGAGACCTCAGTAGAGGCCCACTGTCGATTCTGGAAGGATCCTTATCACGAATGTCGCAATGAATCGGTCCTAGAGTTGTCTTTTACATACCCAAGGGCTCCATAGTAGTTCCTTTTGGGAGTTCACATATAGAATCCTATAAGGTAATCCCAAAAAGGAACTACTATGGAGCCTATGGGTAGACCGCATCTCAGACCTGCTCAGCTTGGGTAACGTGAGTTCAGGGCTTAAGATTCAGTTTTGTGTTCAGCATTTTGAAACTCCCTGTAGTCCCCATCGTCGTTCTTTTTTAACCTGGCTAACCAATAGTGATGGGTAGGATCCTATAACATGACCTTGGTCAACCGCCATCGAATTTATAACTGGGGCTTTGCTTTAGGATTTGGCAGTCAGGGTGTGTGATTGGGAGCACATCGCAAAGTCATGGAGTCAAGCGAAGCGGGGAACAAGAACAGAGTCCTCTGAGACCCACAGAGACTTAACCCAGGAGACCTTTACGCAGTAATTACATCTTAAGCCCCAAATCCCTACACCTCTGAAGCCAGAACATTCACGAAATCCCAAACCCATGAAGTCTGGCTCTGCCTCAGGGCCTAAGGGCTCCGTAGGGCTTCCGGTTGAGGGCTGCGTGCCAAATATCCGACAATGACAATGTAAGGCCATGACGTGCAATCAGGAGGTTAAACCAAGGAACTACAATGGAGACTTTTTGTACTCCTGAATTCAAGTTTTAATCGGGGCTTCTGGGAAGCCTAGGCCCCTTCTCAAGCCCTTTAGCAGCCATATAAACACTGAATTACGGGGCAAGTCGGGATCTCTTGGGGCATGAAGGGAGCAAGCAGACCCGAAGATGAAGCGATTACAGAAATTCACAAGGAGTGCCTAGCAGTCGAGTAGGTAACCTTTAACCTTTTTGGGGTAGTATAGTCCCTATATAATCCCCATATACAAATGGGTTAACCTCTAGTTCCCCATGATACCCGACAAGTAGGAGTGTCATTGCCGCCCTTGGGAGCTAGGCGACGTCTTGCCACGAAACCCAATAAAGCTTAGGCTTAGACCTTCATAGAACCCCTGTAAAACCCTGAAGGCAACTCTGAATGGATCCCCTTCCCCCAAGGCTCCATGTACCCATATAGTATATACTTAGGCCCTAAAGTACCCATATAGGGACCCCTTTGAGGCTTAAGTGTCTACTATAAAGGTACATGGAGCCTTTGGGTTAAGGGACTCCTTCATGGACCCTATTAAACGACCCCTTTAAAGGAACCCTGTGCCCCCACCCGTCAGCCGCTGTCTGCTCAATCTACGTGCCTGAAAATTGGGCCATGGCTCTCCTCTGGACCAAGGCCCCTCGAGACCTGATGTAAGGGTTTAGGTTTTAGGGTTCTGGGCTTAGGGTTTCGGGTTTGGGGTCTTGGGTTTAGGGCTATAGGGCTTCGGGTTTTGGGTTTTGGGTTTAGGGCTTAGGGTTTAGGGCTCAGGGCCTAGGGTTGTTTGATTTTGGGCTTAGGGACCTAATGTCTATTAGGACCCGTGTAGAACCCTCATATTTGCAAGGACCCTCCCCTAAACCAGGTGCTTCTTTGTACGACTCTCCTCCGCCCCTCTGGCGCTGCGCGTCCGCAAGCTCCACCGCTGCATCAGGCGTCTCATCGGCAAGGAAAACGGAAGTTCAGGGCCGTTCGATGGCATACCTGTACCCAGAGACCCCTTAACTATTATAAGGAATATTCCGTCTGGGTACGTTAACCCACCAGAACCTACTTTGTTGTAGGGTCCCTCTACATTGCTTAATAGGATTTATTATAGGAACCTACAAAAAAGTAGGTTTTGGAAGGCCAAGGTAGGGTGCTATAGGACTTTTTCAGTTTTCCAGGGTGCTATGTCCATGTATCTCGAAAGTCGCTCTTGATGGATTTGTCGTTCATTTGCTCTCGCCTGTATTAGAGACCCCAAAAGCACATAAGCATAAGCATTTTGTGAGGATGTCTCTACCTTATTGGCCTTCCTGTAAGGAGGTCTATATGGGATATCCCTACCCTTATTTTTGCTTATGTGCTTTTTTGGGGGCACTAACTGTAAGGTATCTATGTAAGATTATTGTCGTTCTGCAGGGCTTTATAAGGGCCTCCAGGATGATGTTTATAAGCTCCCAGAGAGCCCAATACCCCTTAACTGAGGAATATACCTTAAACCATAAGTGGATTCACATGATGACTTAAGCGCTATTCCTTTATAGAGGAATATCGGGCTCTCTGGGTAAATCCTAGACCCCTAGACCCTAGACCCGACACCCTAAGCCCTGAGTTGCAGACTTCGATATTTTTTGAAAGTTCTCAGGGGTCGAGTATTGGGCTCTCTACGCTTGTCATAGTTGTACAGTAGAAGCCCAAGAGTTGAGAACCCAATAGCCTCAATCCTCAAGGCTGTAAAGGTCTCACAAGGGACGTGAAAGGTGTCTGACCATGCCAGACGGCTACATATACGTAGAGGGTCCATATACACTACTGTTATGGTCTTAGGCCCCGAAAGACCATCCTTATAATTTGGCTTTGGGACCTAATTCCATAATGGTAGTATATGTGGACCCTTTGGGATATACATATATGGGTGGTTGTCAAAATTATGGTCCCTTTATGGCTTCCTTAATATAGTATGGCACCTATTACTTAGGGTAATCAAAAGGGGACCCGAATTTTGACAACTACCCATATGGGGCTTTAGACGATGCTTCTCGGCTTCAGGAAGAGATAGGAGCTTAGGGTTCAGTTGTGATGAGACTTTCCATGTTGTCTACCCTGAGCTTAGGGGTTCGTAAGCTTTCGGATTGCGTACGAGTTGCTTTCAGGTTTCAACGTGGGTAGTCCTCTCAATTGGGGCCCCTTTTTCGGTCCCCACAAAATAGTGCGGCACCCTTCTAAAAGGGACCCAGACTTAGAGAACTACCCATATCCCTCCACCCTGGAGATTCAGAAAACTGAGAAGGCCCAGTCGATTTAGGAGTCCTCATCGTAGTTTCTTGTATGGGTCCATGAAACCTGTGGGTTGTTTGGGGGGTTTAGGGTTTAGGGACGTTCATTGAGAAACTTTAAGCCTTAAGCTCTAAGACCTAAGACCTAAGTTTCCTGGTATGAGTCCACATGAGCTGTGGGTGGTTTTGGCGGTAGGTTGCGACGTTCATTGAGAAACTCTAAGCCCTAAGCTCTAAGACCTAATGTAGAAACCTGATTAAGAAACCCTGGGCCTTTATGAGGGTTCCTTATTTGAAGCCTACTATTTTGGGGTTATAGGTCCAGGGTTTATTAATCAGTTTCCTACATTAAACCCTACCCTAAACACAAGTCGCCGAGTGTTTGTTCTTAGCGACTGAAAGGGGTGTCGGTTCAGAAAGGCCGACTTGCCCCTTACTACGACGTAACCATAGGCCCCATAGTAGTTTTTTTTGTGGGGTTCATATGTAGAATCCCACAAGGTAATCCGGGCTTCGGGTTAAGGAAATAGAGGCATGGGGTTTAAGGTTTATAGGGTGCTTATCGGTTTTCAATTTCAGAGTAATATAGGTCTCCCAGAAATGTCCTTTTGCCTTTTCTTGAGGCAGCGGGGGTGTTGTTCCTTATGCAAAATCAGGCAGCAGACAGTTCTAGAGCTTAAGGTTTAGGGTGTGAGGTCTAGGGAAATCGTAAATAGCTAGCGAGAGCATTAATGTAGAATATGACCAGAAAAACCTCCCCCCGCCCCGGCGAACAACTCTAGCTTGATCATTTCGGCTTGGCCAGGCTTAGGCCTTTACAGCAAATCCTTTGAGTCGCATCGAGATCTTTGAGGTGGGTGCTTTGGAACTTGGGAGGAGGTATATAAGGAGTATAGCCCTATCATTCTGGAGAGATGATATGGTCGTTTAAGATATACTGCTCGCTCAGCGGGTGCTGAACTCTTTGGGAATGTGCTTTTGCAGCAACCTAAGGCGGCACAAGCTGAGCATCCTGTGTCAAAGGCTACACTTTTGGCTTCGCAGCTGCCTTGGCGGAGCTTCCTGCAGATGACACTCTGCTGCACGTAATATGTCCGTAGTAGTACTGATAACTAATTAAGGCTCCTGTATTTGCTAAACAACCCGTGTATACAATCATGTTGCATATCTATATATATATATATATATAGATATACATGCTGTGTGTCTATATACATGTATATATATATGTATATATATATATATACACATGTAGATGTGTACCCGCTATCTACCTGTGTCCGTTTATCTATTCATTTATTGTCTGTCTACCCATCTATCGGTCTATCTATCTACGTATCTGTCTGTTACAGCTTTGTGTCGGACTAATTCAACTTTGGTCGATCGGTTTTGTGGCAAGGTTTGAGTGGGAGCCGCACTCGAATCACCCGAATCCCACGGAACCGCCACCGCCAGAAATTGTTCAAAAATGCTGCTTGGTCGCATATCGTTTAGAAGCTGCCCCCACCCTGTAATAGTGACTATAAGGATTATTATAGGGCCCTATTATATTCCTATTATACCACTATTGCAGGGTGGTGGCCCCTTCTAAAATATCGTCTTCGCTCACGCGAGGCCTCAAACCTAAAGCCTTGATACAGGGGCCTAGTAAGTACCAATACAATTTTGGGGGGTCCTTAGTATGACTCTAGTATTATATTCCCCAAGACCTTAGTTATTCTAATTGTTCTGGTTCCCCATATTAACGTGAAAGTTGTCAGCAGTGTAGTCACGAGCCCAGCTCGGGTTTAGTTCTATATCGCATTGTTCTGCTGGCTCTGATGTCAGGCATCAGGGAGGGCCGTGTTCAAGGGCAAAAGTAGCTCTTCTCAGGTTCACTATCGAACATGCATCCTTAAGGGTCTGTGCCTGAAGCTCGCCTGAAAACTCAGGCTTTCAGGAAATGCAGCCGCTAGTCGAGAAAGAATATCGTGCGCTTGAGCCAGACATCAAGGAAGCGCAGCAGAATCCACACGGCGCCGACGGCATCTTGTTTAGGGTCGGTTTAGGGTTTTAGGGTTTAGGACATAGGGTTTGGGATTTAGTAGCCTTTTTGATTTTGCTTCTCCTGCCTAGCACTGACCCGTTTTAAAGTGGGGGGGGTTGGGGTTTAGGATCCTATTCTCCTTTCTCTCCAACCCTAAACCCTAACCCTTTTTCCTTTCCCTCCACTTGAAAGTTTCTGAAAATTTTGAATTCGAGATACCTTATTTTGGGGTCCTTAGAATAAGGATCCCTTCTATTTAGGATACTAGAATAAGGTCCCCTATTTTCGGAAATTCCCAATTCGGAACCCAGGCCCAAAACCCTAAACCCTAAACCCATATTCCTTTCCCTCCACCCTGAACCCCAAACCCTAAACCCTAAACCCTAAGCCCAGGCATGAAGGACATCGAAGACATGCAAAAGGTTTGGGAATCCCAGCGGCTTCGGTCTCCAGTCGCCAGCAAGCTTTTCCAAATTCGGGTTTAGGGGTTAGGGGTCTCTACCCAGACCCCCGGGAGGATCCGAAAAGTAGATCCCTTAATGGGGGTTGCAAAAAAGTACCTTGAGCACGTAGTATAGGGAAGATTTTCCAAGTTCGGGTTTAGGGGTTACCCATAGGCCCCATAGTAGTTCCTTTTAGGATGACCTTATAGGGTTCTACATATGAACCCCCCAAAAAATACTATGGGGCCTATGGTTAGGGGTCTCTAGGGGTTTAGGGTTCAGAGAAACTTTCGGGTTAAGTACCCAGCAAGCTATTTTCCGTTCCAACTCTTGGGGCTTCTTATGTAGCTATAGAATACTGTTGTTTCTTATGAGAGTCTGACAGTGTTGTTAATCATAAGAGCCTGACAGTGAAAATTTATTTATTTGACTTGGGGGGGGGGGGGTATTGAGAAGTCAGGAAGAAGCACTGCGAAAGTGACAAAGACATGGAGCTTTGCTCTCTGGAAATCAAGATGGGAAGATACATGTCAGCCTCACTGGCAGACTTGTGTTTGAAGAAGTCTTGTGTAGACTCACAAACGCAAAAATGGCTGCGGGACAAAGCATACGAACATCAACAGACAAAGGGCATGGAATTTGAGCTCACCTGCTCCGCGTACAAGATGGGTTGGTCCTTCATCCTGACACTGGCGACTGCAATCTTAGCATCCTAACCACTTGATGCTTGGTATCTACCTAGCGGGACGTCGCCAGCATCTGTCCTGAGTGCCACTGGATGTTGGCGGCACCGAGATGCGTCGAAAAGGTACAGGGCTTGCCCAGGGACTCAGATTGTTTCTTAATCAAGAACTTTACGCCGCATGATGCCTTAAAGATCCTGAAGTATAGAGCGAGCTTAAGTTTCGTTACTTGCTGCAACGTAATCTAGTGGCACACCGCGAATGGTAAAAAACTAAACCCCAAACCCTAAGCTGCGAAGGGGAGCTTTCCAAATTTCTCAAACAAACTTGCGAAGTGGCACATACTGGACGAGCCTTGCCTGGATATAGGTTTTAAGGTTTGACCAGTGTTAGTGCCCTCGTGATCTCTGATGTCAGCGACAAGTTTGGCCGTCGTCTTCTGGCAAGCTTGTGAAGAACCTAAAGTAACCTCGTGATTGTTCTCATGCTTCCCCTCATTACACCCAAGGCCTAGGCCGCGAGACCACCACGACCTAAACCACAAGAATTACCTTGAATCCTAGAGCCTTAGTCAATAATACACATTCATAGGCAACCCTGTAATTCCGTAGATTGAAATCCTAAACCACCAAAGACAACAGACGCTCGTTTACCCCCGGAAGGCCTGGAACGACGTTTGTGGTTTGAGCTGCCCGGGTTCTACAGCAGGCGGCTACGAGCGACGGTTTATAAAGGTGCAGGGCATATTATGGGGCCTTCTCAAGCCTCCTAAGGTCTTCGGGTAGGGCTTAGGCCTACAGGACAGGACTCGTAGGGCTTTAGGGCTTGTAACGGTTTAGGCCGGTAGGGGTTTAGGGGCTAAGGGTTTTTGGTTAAAGTGGACTGCTTGCGCTTTGGGATTTTTGGTTTTAGCGCGTAAATGGATCCCAACCCTGCCCTAACATGCCCTAAATGCCCTAACTAAACCTTGAACCCCAAGCCCCTAAACATACACTGCCGCCCTGAACCTCTCGTGGGTGCCACGAGAGAGTCGTGGCCAGCGATTGCACAACTCGCTTGCACGGTTATAGGGGGTTCCTTGAAGGGATCTTTAAGAGTTCCTTCAAGGGACCTTTGAGGGTTCCTTTAAGGGACCTTTGAGGGTTCCTTGAAGGGACCTTTGAGGGTTCCTTTAAGGGACCTTGAATGGTTCCTTTAAGTTCGAGGGCTTCTGGTTTCGGGTTTCGGGTTTGGGGATCAAGGTTCACGGCTTCAGGGTTGGGTTGTGGATTCAAGGCTAAGGGTTTAGGGTTGAAGGCGCAGTAGGAGGCCTTTTTTTTGGTAGAACCCGACTATGGAACATTTAGTAGGGTTTGTTTGCTTAACATTGCGCGGTTCGCTTCACATTAACCTGCAGTCATGCAGGGATATACTGTGAACTTTGAGGCAAACTTACGATATGTCTTCCTATAGTCCCCATGATAGTTCCCTTTTAATTTCTTTACCAACTTTATATTAAGGATCTTAAGAAGGTAACCCAAAAAGGAACTACAATGGAGACTCTAGGTAGTGTCTAGAGCTTTACCAGGTTAGGGTTTCGGGTCGTGTGTGGCAGTTAGGGCGTTCAGGGTTTAGAGTACGGGTTTTAAATACTCAGGTAAACCCCAAGCCATTTAGACGCTAAAGGGCTTTGCATACCTCAGGGTTTAGGAAGAATGCGAGCAGATGCAAGAAGTCCGAACATACCCGGGTGCCCGATTCCGCGTCAGAAGGAGTACACCTGAGGCCATATGGGGAATTTGATGTTTTGGGTTATTACCTGTGGATCCAGTAGCATATGATGACCATATTGCCATAGTTGTTATTGCTAGCAGTAATGTTATTAGCCTACATATGTATATATATATATATATGTATGATAAGTACTGTAGCTGATCAGTTCTAAGGATTGCAGCCATGGCTAAATGAATCAGAGCCGTCGATTTTGTGGGGTGCAAAGATTAAAGGACAACTTGGGCAAAGTGGGCACACATGCAGAAGTCGTCAACCCCAAACCACAACGTTTATTGAAGCCCTAAATCTTACGCCAGGCACAACGTTCTCATCGGCCCTTCACACACGCACATGGGCCCGGCTGGTACCAGCCCGCCGGGGAGCTCAGCCGCGCTGCGAGTTTATTGTAAGCGCTTCCCATGGTCCACCTCGGCCCGGTAGCTGGTGAAGCGTAGTCTCCATGTCAGTGTCCAGTTGCCATGTTGGGTCGTGCAAGACGATAAATGTGGTTCGGGGGTTGAGAGGAGCGGAAAGAGGTTCTCGGATGGAAAGGGATAAACTTCCCTGGTACGTTGGGTAGCTATAGTTTTCTCGCATTTCAGCGGTGAGTCTATATTTAGGGTCTTAACAGGGCTTTATCAGATAGTTTTCGCGTGGGCTTCCCAGTTCTCTTATCACCCAGGCAAAAGTAGTAGTGCGGAACCGAGAATCAGTACATTCACAGCGAGATCAGGGTTGTGTATATTTCTGACGTCGCAACGCGGACACCTCCTGAAGCTGTGGGGGCTCTTGGCTCGGGGTGTTGGACGAATGACCGAACGGAAGGCGGACCAATTGGTAATATCCTTCCTTATGCATGCCCTGCCCGATTCGACCCGATCGACACCGATCCATCCGACCCGATTTGCAGCGATTCGATGCGATTTGCCGATCGAGGGACGGAACCTGGCCGCCAGGGGTCTCTGCACAAAGGCTTAACCGCCAGCCCAACTTGAGCTTGGCACTGAAGCAGCCAAGAAACTCATTTGAGAGATATGCAATGTGCACAGGCATGGCAGACCTAGTGAGCCTTCAGTTCCCCATGGCAGACGGGTGGGAGGCAAAAACGAATTAGTGGCTGCCACTAATTCGACTTGGTGTGGGAGCAGGGAGCACAGGGCAGGGGCAGGGCAGGGTGGGGCAGGGTGGCAAGACAGGTTGGGGCAAAATCTGCCACTAACTCGATTTCGGCCGGGGCCAGGGTGGGAGGGTGGGGGGGGGGGGGGGGGGGCAGGGTGGCCCACCCTCCCACCCAGGCCCCGGCCCGCCCTGTACCCTGCCCCTGCCCCTGCGCTCCCTGCTCCCACCCTGCTCCCACCCTCCCCCGACCCGACCCACCTGACACAAAACCAAATTATCGAGTTAGTGGCAGCCACTAACTCGTTTTTGCCTCCCACTCCACCCTGCCCCTGCCCTGCCCCACAACCTCCCACCCTGGTTTGCCTGCTCTGCTCCAAAGCCTTGCGCCCTGCCCAAAAACCAATCGAGTTAGTGACAGCCACTAACTCGTTTTTGTTTCCCTGCCTCCGCCCTGCCTTGTCCAGCCTGCCCAAAACCAAAATCGACTTAGTGGCAGCCACTAATTCGTGTTTGCCAGCCACTAACTCGTTTTTGCCTCCCAAACTTGCCCGAGCCAACCGACCGTGGACCTTGACCGAATCTCTGCATCCTTCATCCACGACGTCGTGGCTGCGGTCGCGGCAGCCCCAGCGATGTGGCCCTAGATTTAGTTAGCGAAGCGCACAAGCGCCTGGCTCTATAGGCACAGCTCCATGGTTCAACTCCGACGGCGGTCCGATCGATTCGATTCGATTTCCGACCCGATTCCCGATCTTGTTGTGAGGTTGGTTGTCCATGTTATGGTTCCGTGTCATAGTCATTCTTCAATAGCCCTCAACATGTTCGCGTTCCTTTGGGTCGTGGGTGAGGGCTCGGAACCAGACATCGCCCGTCTTCAGCCTTGCCGCTGAGCAGAAAACTCTAAAACCCCGACACCGGGCGCCCGAAACCCTGAACACAATAAGCTCTGCATCTCATGCTCCGCTAAACTCCAAAACACTTACAGCACTCGGCCCTAAACCCTACGAGGGCCTAAAACCTGAGCCCTTAGCCCTTGCGAGGTACTACCTCTACCAGTTCTCCTCCTTCGGCTACGTCAAGCAGTCGACGCAGGCGGCAACGATTTGGCACTGTCAGTTCTAGAAGCCCACTTGAACACTTCTCTAATCCCTGGGCCCTAAACCCTGAACTCTGTAAATCCGACAACCTGAGCCGATTCCCTGAGCCCTATACAACCTAAACTAAGCCCTTAACCCTACAATGCCCTACAACTAGGACCTAGAGTAGGCCCTTATTCCCTTTTTAAGGGTTTAGGTTCCCTTATAAGCCCCTTTATCCCAAAAAGGGCATCCTTTTTATGCCTGGGTTACTCTTGGGTCTAGACAACCAAGAACCCTTAAACCTTGCAACCTAGGCCCTGGTAATTACAATCTAAACCCTTAGCCCTACAACCCAAACCCCAAACTCGAAACCCCACAACCTAAACCCTTAACCCTGCAACCTATATACCCTACAACCTAAACCCTACGATCTAGACCCCCATCCCTACCACCTCTGTAAGCTTTAAAACCTCTAAGCCGGCCGACAGCTCGGAACCGCGGAGGTACTTGGAGCCCAATGCTCCTAAATTAAGGATGATAGCCTAAATCGTAATATGAACCCCCCTATGATGTAAAGTATATTCCTCAATTAAGGGGTATTGGGCTCTCTGGGGTCTTTGTTATGGTTTAGGGTTTTAGGGTTTATAGGGCCTAGGATTTAGGGTTAGGAGTTGGGGCTTAGTCTTTAGGAATACCTACTTGGAGGTTCAGGGGTAGTGACAAAGGGGGTCAAAAGTCCTTTACATGTGTTATAACAAACTATATCTACTATAGCTATCCTACATATAAACTACACGTGAACCTCCAAGAAGAGACGGGCAGCTATGGGCTGCAAGTTTTACGTGGATGTCAATGTTTAGGGTTTTGGGTAGGCCAACGGCCGCCTAATTTCGACCCCGAACACCACCCCACCCCCCCCCCGAAAAAAGAAAAAACAAAAAATCACAAAAACCCTAAAACCTAAGCCCCTAAATCCTAAACAAGAAACCCAAAGCCCTGCACCCTGATAATTCCTACCGGACCTATCTCCCGAACGACACGGGAGCCTAAGAGTTAAGATGCAGAGGCTTTGGTGGATGGGATGTTCGAAGCAGCTGCCTGGTGGAAGAGGTTTAGGATCCAGGGTTAAGGATTTATAGGGTTTAAGGTGCAGGGTTTAGGATTTAGGGTTGAGGGTGTAGGGTTTAGGATTTAGAAGATTTGAGGGTTTAGGATTTAGAGTTAGGGTTTAGGGTGCAAGCTGGCTCTGTTTCGTGTGTCGTAGAGGTTTAGAGGGGAGTCTAACGGGAGATGATCTTGCGCCTTGAAACCGAAAAGAGAGTAAAGGGATCTAGTATTATACTAAACCTGTTGATGAGCGCTGGGAGTAGTCGTTCTTGTCCCTAGACGCATCCGTTTGCTGCGGTTTGTGTTTATGCAGTAGGGCCTAATCCGCAAAGCTGAATGTTAATTCCTGTTTCATAATTTCCCGTACCTTTATGGGGATCACGAAAGACAGGGGGATCTGAAAACCACAGACTCAACACCGTACCTTTAGGCAATAGGGATCAAGCTAGGGACCCTGATGTAAGTGCTCCGTAATGACAAGAAGTCTGTTGATCACTCGTCGCCCTCCCCAACTTCACCACATCCTCCGATTCCGCCTAACTTGAACGGGGCTGAATAATTAGGATGGAGCCTTGTGCAGCGAGAATACTAGGACGATGATGATGTCTTGTTGCAGGTGGGGTCAAAGTATTGTAGTATAATTAAACTAAATATGGAGATTTTCAATGTATATGATTGCTTGTGGTTCCGATCCCTATATCACCCCGTCAGCCCCAGGTGCGGATGGCGCACCACAACATTCGTCCGGCGCAGGCCAGTTTATGCTAAATCCTGACCTAAGATCCTAAACTCCAGCCCATGTAAACCCTGAACCCTAAGACTCCAAGGTGTTCAAGCATTTGAGCCACAGTATGTAAGCATTGCAACACCCTGAAAGATTTTTGTAAAACCTTGAGAACACTTGTTTATGACTTATAGACTCTGTTCATTCAAGTGAGCATGCTATTGTCAAGGAGTTTGGTCCAGACTTTCGAACGCGTCCTTCGCTGTCTTAGGCTTTAAGGTGTTTTTGGGTTCGGACCTTTTTTGCGCCTACATGTCCAGAACCCCCAACCTCTAAACCCCTAGACCACGGATGCCCTATAACTCTTGCCTCGCAGGAGCATGGATAGTTTATAAGTGGGGTAAGTCCTCTAACATGGGGAATAGCGATAATCTCGGATGCCCATTAGTACCCTGATGTCCCTTTTTGTAGTCTCAGGTTCCTTATTACGTTACCCAATACCAGCAAGGGAGTGCTTCTTATTCCTAGGTTACTGGGCATCCTAGTAACTGTCGTACTTATACCCCTACTTATAACTAGCCATGAGGCTTCAAGTAAGTCCTAAACTCCTCTAGCCTCCCCTTCAGGTGTTCCTGGGCCACGGGCCCGTGGATAACAGCACCGTCCCTGGCTGCCCGATGCCGCTGCACGGCCCGAACTCAGCGATTTCGGGTTTAAGGTCCAGGAGGTCGAGGGTTCAGGGTTCAGGATTCAGGGGCTCAGCATTTCGGGTTAGGGGAGTACTTTGAGGCTTCATGATCATGGCCACGAAACCCTTGGAGATTCATCTGGTTGGTGTCTGAGTAATACATAATTACAGTATTAGCTATCAGCGAAGAATTACGTACAAGAGTCATCGCGAGTATGATAATCGTAGTGATACCACACATGAAGATATTGATGATAATAGTTGATGGACTATATTGGAATAATCCCCATTCAAGCCAGCATATCTTCTGGAATATATACTAACTATCTGCACCCCAAGCCTTCTCAACATCATCTGTCCCCTAGAATATAGCAACGCTCTAGAATATAGCAACCCTCGTGGAAGCTCTCGTAGTAGCCCTAAACCCTAAAGCCCCTTATGACCCGTACTGAGGCCCATCAGTCCCTAGTTTGTTTACGGTCTTCAATCCGGAGCCCTTACATACAGGGGACCCTGCTATAGAACCCTATACTACCCCGAAAAGCCACTCTACTATAGAACCCTATACTACCCCCTTTCGGGGCATCGCAGTCTGCTGAGGCATTGCGCTTCACGTGCCCTGGAACCATCCTTTCCGGTTAGAATAGAGGTTGTTTTCTCGTGAAAGTTTGCCACTTATTAGGGTTTAGGCTTCAGGATCTATAGGGGTTGTTTGTATAGGATTTATCGTTTAAGGTTTATGGTTTAGGATTTTTTAAAAGGAAAAAGATGTGTAAGTTCCAAAGCCCAAACCCCAGCCGGACCTTGGACCTTGTGCTTTTGCTTTAGAGCTGCCGCACAATTCTTCGTAAGTTCTTCTATCCCCTGATAGCCCGCATATTATGACGACCGTCAATAGCAGTAGAAATGATGCTTATAGTTCCAATGTGCTGTACCCATAGGCTCCACAGTAGTTCCTTTTTGGGATTACCTTATAGGATTCTATATATGAACTCCCAAAAGGAACTACTATGGAGCCCTTGGGTATACAGTACAGCAGAACCCTATTCCGCTATGAGCTCAAAAGGATCCTTGTCACCTCCTCCCCCCTCTTTCCCAATCCAGAAAACAGCCGAAAACAGCCCCAAACCCTAAAGGGAACTCCAGAAAGTTGGAATATGGAATAATGGCAGGATCCCCTATATTTTACCTTAAAGGGACTATGATAATGATATTCCAAGCAGTAGGACCCAGAGTAGGCCCTTATTCCCTGTTTTAGGGTTCAGGTTCCATTATAGTCCCCTTGAAACCAAAAAGGGCACCCTTGTTATTCCTAGGTTACTCTTAGGTCTAGTTGTATGTGCATGACCTGGGAGCTCACGTCCCATGAGCATTCTTGAAGAGTATTACAGGCTTCACTACTTCTTGGAATAATGTCTGCAGCTTCTGAAAGTATGATTCTAGAGGGACTATAAGGGATATGAGTTTTCCAGATCTCTATTTTAGACCAATGCATCGAGACACCATGCCGCGGAGTTCAGTCAAACAGGGGTACGTACCCAGAGAGCCGAGTATCGCTGAAGCAAGGGTTATATACCTTGATCTACGGGGTTGCAACCTTATGATTTCAGGTATCTTCCTGAATTACGGGGCATGGGGCTTCTTTGGTGCCTTGTTTCGTGGTCCTAACAATATAAGGCTCCTACTGCCTAGGCTAGGGGGGCGGGCATCGCGACACCACAGTGCGCCGAAGTAGGCAAGGCATGTTTACCGGTTGTGATGGGGTGCAATGTTAGAGGTCCATCCACTTTAGTAACTCCAACGGAATATTACAAGTAGCCAGAATGTTTCCAAGGGCGCTTAAGTCCAGAGCATGCGAAGCCGCAGCATGATTCACTGACCTGAGGCAATCGGAGCCCAACGTCTTATCTGCACAACCCGGAAGAGGAGAGAGCGGAGTACGATGGAAACACAGATGCTTGGAGCCGATCTACCCAGAGACTCCCATATCCATCATGTAATAAGGAATGTTCCCGATTCACAACCAAAAGCATCACCTATGTAGGGCACATTGGAGTTTGTTGGATCCCCTAAACCCTAGACCCTAAACCCAAACCCTAAGCCCCTAACCCAAACTCTAAACCCTCTTTTGTTGGCTTGGGGAGTATGGGGAGGAAAGATGTTTAGGACCCTCCCAGAGACTCCACTCCAATATCCCTTAATTAAGGAATATACCTTAAATCATATTAAAGATCCTACTATAATTTAAGGTATATTCCTTAATTAAGGAATATTGGAGTCTCTGGGCTCAGGGCCGAATTTCGGCTCTGAGGATGGTAGCGCCGCGGGGGATGGACAGTGTTTTGTGATCCCTAAAGATCTACCATTTTAAGTTTTACGGGTTATGGCTTCCATATATATATATATATATATACATAATTACACACATTTCCTTAAAAAGGTAGGTCTCTTCTTGAGGGATCTTTATTTAAGAGTCCTACGATTTAGTTGTTTTAGGGCCTCGTAGAATTTGTGTCCCATTCAATCCTGGATGTGACGAGGTGACAGGTGATGCGGGTCAGTATTCGGGGCCGACGGCCAAGAGGGTGAAGAATGCATGGGGCCTTAATAGTTACAAAAGGGTTTTTGGGGGTTCCTTACAAAAAAATCATAGTAGAACATACCCCCCAAACCGTATTCTAATTGTTAAGACCCCTGTGATAGAGAGTTAGACCTGACAAGCTTTCAAGGGCCCTTGAAACCCTAGATCCCAAACCCTGAAGCTCCACAGCTCCAGGGCTCCAGTGACCCAAAGAATTGGTTACAGGATTACATACTACCACTATGGGCCATTAGACCTTATGGGTACCTTAATCTACCCTTAATAGGGTCCTAATAGGGATCTTTAGGGTCTAATAGCCCATAGTGGTATATGGCAGTTTCCGAAAATTCGGGGTACCTTATACTATAAGGATCCTACTCTAGGGTACGGTCCCCTATTTTCGGAAACTCCCACCTACGATTCAGGTAACTGCAGCCCTAGGCCGACTCTATGAAACGCCGAGGATAAGATCATGGATCTCTTGAAAGTGACGGACGCCGCCACAGGGGAAGCCATGGGAACTTTGAGACAAGGCTGCATATGGGAGTTTCCCAAAAATAAGGGTACCTTATTTGGGGGTCCTTGTAATAAGGATCCTATTATTTAGGGTACGATATTGGGGTCCCCTATTTCGGAATCTCCCATATCTCAGCTACTGAGTTACTGTATGCTGCTACTCCGGATTAGCCCCGAAAGCTCTGCGTACTATATCCCAGGAAGCGAAAGTCCATGGAACTCCCCACCCAACACAGACACACACACACACACACACACACACACACACACACACACACACACACACACACACTACACCTGTAAGCCTTAAGCCGTATACGCTCTGAAACCACTCAACGACGGAATGAAGCTATGGAGACCACCAACCCAAAGCACAAACCCCGCCCGAAGCTTCAGGAACTTCTTCCCGGTCCACACCACCAGCATGAAGAGCAGCAGTGGCTTGATTTCAGGCCCACCCGCGGAACGTTCTGGTGTTTGTTATAATTTGACAACCAGTCTTCACCTCTCTTGTGGAGGAAGTGATGAGTTAGTCCCAGACTCAGAAAGATGATGTTCTTTTTGCGTCACGCGCACTTTTCTTGTGTGACCCCCCTACAATTATAGGACCCCCCTATGAATCCCGTTACACTCGCTGATAAAGCCCCCGAGAGACCCCCAGATGTGATATGTTCTATCTATCTATCTATCTATCTATCTATCTATCTATATATATATATATATATATATACACATACATACACACATGTACATGTGCTCTTGTGTTTGCATATGTATTTGTGCGTATATATGCATATATATATATATATATATATATGTATATATATATATATATGTGTGTGTGTGGGCGTGTGTGCGTGCGTGCGTGTGTCTTAGCTATGTGTATACAAATCGGTGCGTGTATATATATATATATATATATACATATCTGTTTATGTATGTAAGCATTTATGTCTATCTTACATGTATGTGTGCATATACCCATCTACCCAGCCATGTATCCATCCATTTATCCATCCGGCCGGCCGGCCGGCCGGCCAGCCAGTCAGACATGCATGTATGCAGCCGTACAGGCATACAGACAGACAGGCAGACATAGACTGGCAGGCAGGCAGGCAGCCAGGAAGATTTATCGGGTTTCAGTTAGATTGGTTTGTTGTTTAGACGTAGCAAAAACCCCACCCGCCCAAAGCATCCCATAACATGAAGAAACTACAAAGTTTACTCATCTTCCCGAAGCCTCATACGAAACCCTAGACGAAACCCTAAACGAACCCTAAACGGAGCCCTAAACGAAACCCGAAACGAGACTCTAAAGCAAGCCTCAAAGGAAACCTAAATGAAGTCTTGCACGAACCCTAAACGAAGACGACGAAGACTGCTATTCTAGCTGCTATTTGAGGGTTCGGACCAATGTTTGAAAGGTCGAACTGCTGTTCCAAGGTTCGGACTGTGATTTTGGGGTTCGGACTGCTGTTTCAGGGTTCGGGCCGAGTCTTTCTTGCCCACGAGTTTTCGGGCTTTGCCGACGAATATCACCCAAGACCCGCAAAATGTGGCCTTGGAATTTTGGTGCCTAAGGCCCGAATCTTCGTGAGCAAGGCCATTTTTGAAATTTTGGGTTCGAAGCTGCCCCCGCCCTGTAACTTAGTGACTATAAGGATTAAAACAGGGCCCTATTATATTCCTATTATGCCACCATTACAGGGTGGGGGCAGCTTCTAAACTATGGGTGTTGTTCCGCCCCAAAATCCACAACATGGCTTTGCTCAGGAAGATTCGGGCCTTGCCAACGAAGACCATCAGGGTTTATAGTTCATATGGCAGGTAGGTTCAAGGTTTAGGGTTTAAGGTTTAGGGTGTAGGGTTTAAGGTTCATAGGGTTTAGGGTTTAGGGTACTCGGCTCCCAATACGAAGGGGCAGCCCGACAAATACAACATGAGAACTTCTTCGGGTAGACCCTACACCCTAAAGCCCAGCAGTCAGATGTTCAAGAGCCTTGCCCTCCCTTCGCCAACAGGCGACAACAAGGGCTACGCCGAATATGCGTTCGAGAAGGCCTGCACCGGAATGAGCACGTGCTAAGGGTTGGGTTTAGGTTTTTCGTTTGTGCGCCCCAGGGCTATATTCTGAGGGCTCAATCCGCGCATCTAAAAAGCACCCCCCCCCCCCCCGCACCCCACCCCCCCCGACCCTACCCGAACCCCCAAAGTAGGCAAAGGAATACCATTGGGGTCCAGATAGACCTGAAACCCTAAACCCTTGCACCCTAAACCTCTAACCCTCCTAATTCTGTTTGTCCTCGCTGTGAAACTACTTGTAACTAACCTTGGACCCGGCCTTAAGTCCGAGACTTGTAATCTGGGTTATAACTGATGACTACAGTTATCCTACTCATGACACTATTATCCACTACTTGTAACAAAACCCTAAACCCTAAACCCTAAACCCCTAAACCATAAAACCCTCAACCACCTAAAGCCTCAACCCCTAAACCCAGAACCCTCAACCCTCAACCACTAAAGCCTCAACCCCTAAACCCAGAACCCTAAACCCTCAACCACTAAAGCCCAAACCCTCATCTGAAGCTGCCAGCCCAGAGAGCCCAATACCCCCTAATTAAGGAATATGGCTTAAATCATATTATGCGCCCCTTATAATTTAAGGTATATCGCTTAATTAAAGGGTATTGGGCTTTCTGGGAGTGAGAGGCCATCAACGGAGCCAGCGAGCAGAACCCTGCCGGCCGAGGCTTGCTCAACCCTGAGGAGCTATGCTAGGGCCGAGGTCTCCGATTATAGAACCTACTATAGTACGCTGTATAGGGGAACCTCATTATAGAACCTACTATAGTACCCTGTATAGGGGAACCTGATTATAGAACCCTACTAGAATGTAGCTTCTCATCTTGATGACTGCATAAAGCCTTCAAGGGGGTTGGGGTGTTGCGGGTTATTCCGACGGTTATTAGATTGATGAGTTGTGTCTTCACCCAGGGTTTGCATGCGGGTTCGACGAGGGCTGCAATAAGGGCTGACAAAGAGGTCGATATACGGGCCTGAGTATTGGAGCAGGTTTTGGGTTTGTGAGGGAATGGCTTTTTTCGGGACTAGAAGGGTAGACCTGTTCTTAGCATGAATTTTTCAGGGCTTTGGGGGTTAAGCTTCAGGGCTTGGACACGCGTGACAGCTGGAGTGGCTGGTGCAAGCCTGATCGCTCGGTTCCCACCCCGGATGACGACCGGGAAAGTTGATGATGTTCTGGCCAGGGTGCAACCAGGTAGCTTACAATTTGGGGCATTCTCCCTTGGCGACACACCCCCAAAACCTTAAACCCCTAAACTCCTAAACCCATGGCCTCAAGAAGGCCGCAACCCCTAAACCCCTCCTAAACCTTCAAAAGCAGGGTTGTCTAACCATTGATATTGGAGGAGCTAAGGAGCCAGGGGTGATGATAATCCCTACTTAATAAGGAGCTAAAGAGCCAAGGGAACCCCAAAACCATTGGTTAGTTGTGCAGTAGAGCCAGGCGCTTTGCCGTTTGTGTGTGTTTATCAGAAGTCCGCTGCTGGCTTTGTCTCCAGAGTGTACCCAGAGAGCCCAGTACACCTTAGTTAAGGAATATGCCTTGAAGTATAAGGGGATTCATATTATGATGGAAGCTATATTCCTTAATTAAGGGGTATTCGGCTCTCTGGGTACATTAGGGAGATTGGTGGGTGTATGTAAGGCTCCCTCGGAATACTGGCTCCTGATAAAGACTCTGCTATTTTTGCTATATGCTATAGTACCTCGTGGCAGCTGGTACGGCTACTAGAAGAGGGGTATACCTAAGGGCAGAGCTTCATAACCGGAGTTGTAGTTTGGAGTTTGGGGTCGTGCATATGGACCTACATTCTGGCTGCGGTGGCTAGTCTCTTCAACATGCCCCTTCTTCCATCTGCTGATCTTAAAAGGCACAATTTAGCGAGTCAGTCTATATTGGGCGCTGTAGGCGCCATAGCTGATGAAGCCCAAAAGGCTGAAATGATGAGGAAGAAAAGCTATGCATCAAAGGGGCATGTTAATGGACTGGCGACTGCATGGGCCGATCGTGAAGCACGCGGAACACAAATCCCGAAGGGTCAAACCCTTCTCAAGTGGCTTGATAGAAGGCTAGGAATCTCGACAAGGCTGCGATGCTCTATCAGTGGCATCCAATCTGTATCCACAGTGCAAGCACAAGCTGGGCCTCACTGTCGACACCCGTGCTCAGAGCGCCTGCTTTCGGCCTTCGGATCCTGCGCCGGCCGGCCAGGCCCTGTCCCTCAGACTTTACAAAGACGTCAGCTTAGGAATGTCCTCACCAAGACCCCCCAAGCATCGGGTACAACAATGATTATTTCGGTTTATATACATTATTTTCGGATCCAGCTAGATCGAGATCCGGAATGTGGGTTATGCTAGATCCCCACCCTAAGCCCTAGGCCCTAAACCCTGAACCCTAACGCCTAAACCTTGAATCCTCAAGCCTAAACCCTAAACCCTAAGGTAGTGTGGCGACTCTAGGCTCATCATCGTCCTAAGCACAGCGGTGGCTTCGGCTTGGGATCCCGAGGGAGTCCCAGACGCCGTTTGGGAAGGTTAGTTAGTCCAGACAACCCAGAAATAATCCCAATGTAAAACCTTGAAAGTGCTGCTCTATACAACTCTCTGGTTCTTCGTATGGCATGGAGGAATGGGTTATTGGGAGGTACTATTGGGGATTGGATAGAGACTACCATAAGGATCCATTCCCCCATGCCCTACTAAGCGCCAGACAGACAATCCTCAGTAATGCAGGAACCTGATTAAGAAACCTTGGGCCTTTATAAGGGTTCCTTATGTTTCTTAATCAGGTTCCTACATTACTAAACCCCAAAGTCCAGGAATATAGCTTAAATCATAATATGAATCCCCGTATAATTGAAGGTATATTCCTTAATCAAGGGGTATTGGGCTCTCTGGGTTCCTACATTACCAGAATTCGCCATGCCAGGGCCCTTTGTGGCAGCTTTCGCTCAGGCGGGTTTGCGGCTTGCTCGGGCCGGCCTGGTGGCTTACGGTTTAGGGTTTGGGGCTTGGTGTTTGGGCCTTAGAGTTTACATATATACAGTCTCCATTGTAGTTCCGTTTTTTGGTTTAACCAGTTATACATTAAGGATTCCTAAAAAGTAGCCCCAAAAAGGAACTACAATGGAGACTATAGGCACCCTTCAGAGTGTATAGACTTATGGTTTAATTTAAGGTTCGCGTTTACTCCGAACAGTTCAACCAAAACACAGAAGCTCAGAACATTCCAAGCTTTTCTTTCCGGTCTCGACCTACGGCCCAACTCACGTGTCACAGATCAAGAGGTTTACAAGCAAGCCACGTATCCTAAGCCAAGCATCCTAAGCTCCCTTCGGAATCGACTGTGGAACTACGGTTCAACCTGCAAGAAGAACCCAAAGGGTCCAAGTATCATCCTGGTATATACTTAAAGGGCATTTTGGGGGTCTAAGTATGTCCCATGATGATACTTGGACCCTTTGGGGAAGCCACACCGCCCCAGCGAGCCCCTTTGACGCAGCATAACGCAGTGCTTGCAAGGACCGACGGTCGTAGAAGTCCACGTTACCCGAACCCGATTCCCGGACCGACCTTCCTAGCCACACCGTCACACCACCCCAGACACTAACCGACTACCTATAGGCTCCACAGTAGTTCCTTTTTGGGATTACCTTATAGGATTCTATATATGAACTCCCAAAAGGAACTACTATGGAGCCCTTGGGTAACCCCCAACGGAAGAATACTCTCATGAAGCGGGCGGTGCAGATGCGCCAACAAGCGTGCAGACGAAGCTGCCGTGTGAAAAGCATCCCTGAGAACGACCCCAAACCCAATTCCCCCTAACCCCAAGCCACCCCTGGACCAGGGTGCAGCCGGTGACGTCTCTCCGAACGTACACGGCTCCTGGTGCGAGGTCCGGTGAAAAGTTCTAATTACTGTCGAGCCCAGCTTACAACCTTTTCTTGGTAGTGGAGTAGGTAACCTGTAGCTTTTTTGGGGGATTAACCTTTAGTTCCCGTTGGATTCTGGACAAGTCCTTATCCTTACCCTTCAAATAGCAGTGCGAGTCTATGATACGGTTGATGATATAAATCCTGCATTACCTTAAGGACCCTAAACTATGGGAATTATGGTATATTCCTTATTATGGGTCATGCAGGATTTATATCATCAACCGTAGTCATACCGAGAAGGGCAATGGAGTCGGGGGTTGCAAAGGTGTTATCCCTTGCAGGAATGAGCATTTCTCAAGTAGGGAAGGACATGAGTTACAAGGCCCATACATAGCTCACAAAAGCCCTTATATTAGCCCTCCTAGCACCCTAGAAGAACCCTTCAGAGCTCCATAATAGAGGTATTGGGCCCGGGAGTTATCATTTTCAGCACACAACAGGTCCTCAGTTCGCGTAGGATTAATACAGTAGTAGGGCTAGTGTGTAAAGTACGGCTGGGTTTGGTCACCTTAAAGGATCAGGGGACTTAACAAGGAGGGTTGTGCTTAGTGTGCAACTGCTTGTACCCTTGACCGGTGCACTACGAACTGCATGTAAATACTGGTCGAGAAGTACTTAGTATCAGTCTCGCCATAGAGCTGTGAGAGCGCAGTTGTTGAGTCTGACCAGGACATAAAAGGATCAGGGGACTTCGTAGGTAGGGTTGTAAAAAGGGTAACCACACATATAGTCGCTTTTGACCTCAAGCACTTTGGGTACGTTTGAGCATTCCCAGGCTGTCATAAGTGAGCACTAGCGCAACTACATGTATGCTTGTTTATAGGCCTAATAAGTTTCAGCTTTTGCAACCCTATACCTGGAACCCAAAAGTATGTAAGCTGATGGCAACTTTTTGGTGATGGGCTTTTATTTTACATTAGGTTTTTGGAGGGGGGGCGGGGCGGATGCTCACGCTCAGGGTAACTACAGCTATGCTTGTCTACTAACCTCAACGAGTTTGGATACTTTTAGGCTTTTAGCCCCTCCCTAAACTCTAAACCCTAAACCCTGAACCCTCACCCTAAACCCTCCCACTCAGTCCCATGATCCTTCTGCTCCTTTGGGCCAGGGAACCGGGACCAGCTGCGAGACTGCTCAATCCGCGCCTTGGCTCACCATTCTAAGAGCTTCGGGAGTATAGTAACTACAGGCTTGAGGTTTAGAGTTTAAGGGTTCAGGGTTTGAGGCTTAGGGATTTTTTGGGATTTCGGGTTTTGGGGGGTGTGGGTTTAGGGTTTGGGGTTTAAAGTTTGCGGTTTAGGGTTCTAGGGTTCTGAGTTTAGGGGGTTTTGGTTTAGTGGTTTTGGGGAAGCCAAGCAGCATTACTAATCATGTTTTCGATCATAGACCACCCCCCAAGCCCCCCAACCCCTAAACCCCTAAGCCCTGAACCCTAAGCACCACAAACCTTAAACCCCTAAACCACTAAACCCCTAAACCTTTAACCACTACACCCCAAACCCTAAACCCTAAACCCTAAACCCTACCCGAAGCTCTAAACTCCTCGACGTCAGGTCTGCTACGAGGGCCGCACCCCGCGGAACTCCCGCTGCATCGCCTGGGGACCCGGAGGCCGACCTCCCAGAGACTCCAATATCCCTTAATTTAGGAATATACCTTAAATCATATAAGGGTTCCTACCATAGTTTAAGGAATATTATATTATAATATTCCTTAAACTATGGTAGGAACCCTTATATGATTTAAGGTATATTCCTAAATTAAGGGATATTGGAGTCACTGACCTCGTGGTAATGCAAGTTACGGGCTGCATTAAAGGGCCATTGGGCGGTCCTGGAAGGGTTTGGGGTTTAGGGTTTAAGGGATCAAAGGCTTCCTTAAGGGGTCTAGGGTAATATGCAAGTTACGATTATGATTACTTGTGCTGCTACTATCAACAGGATTACTGTTATCTTGATTTTGAATGGATTGGTCCGGGACCAGAATGACCAATCCCGGACCAATATTGGACCAAACAGAAGCCCCCGAATATACAACCCGATAAGGAATGTAAATTATGATGATGACAATGGTAGCTACAGCGACAACCTATAGTCTCCATTATATTTCCTTTTTCGGCTTGCTGTACAGGCTCCTGAACAAAAAGATGGTACAACGCAAAAACTACACTGGAGACGACCCATAGGCCCCAAAGTAGTTCCTTTTTGGGATTACCTTATAGGATTCTATATATGAACCCCCCAAAAGGAACTACTTTGGGGCCTTTGGGTATAGGTATAGTATAGGGGTTCGGAGCTTGGGGCTTAGGGGTTTGGGGGGGTTGGGGTTGTATGATTTACCTTTGGATCCAAAAACCCTACCGTTTTAAGGGTCAGACTCTCTAATTAAGGGGTCATAACCTACCATTTTCTAGGGTTCGGGGATACAGGTAGGGCTTAGGGGTGTTGGATTCAGCAGTCTAGGAGTCTGGGATGTAGGGGTAGGGAGAATGATTCAGCGCCGTCAGAATGTTTAGTGCCGGGGGCCTAAGTCCGTAGAATACCTCGCGCTTTTGTGGTTACACTGAAGTAGGGACATGCAAGGGCGTAAATGGCGATACTTTCACTAATGATTCCGACCGCTTTCTTAGGGCCCATGGATTGAGGATTTAATGGTTGGGGTTTCGGCACATGTGAGCCTTTAGGGTTTCCTGGGGATCCCCAAACCTACTGTTTTAGGGGTTAAACCCTGTAATCAGAGGGTCATAACCTACTATTTTGTAGGGTTTGGGGATACAGGTTTGTGCCGGTTTCAAGATTTAGCGCCCAGGATTTTCGGGCTAGAAGTTCGTATAGGACTATCCGATATAGTTTTGTTCTGAGGGGGGTGGGGGGCATGGGGAAACAAGTGTTGCAGGCCGAGACATCCTCAAGTCCACGAAGGAGATCGGCGAACGCCAATACCTTGCTGCGAGGCCGGTCGTCGGAGGCTTCAAAAGGTGGGAGGAAGGTAGCCCAAAGGGTCCAAGTATCATCATGGGACATACTTAGACCCCCAAAATGCCCTATAAGTATATACCAGGATGATACTTGGACGCTTTGGGTAGGTAGGATTAACTAGGATGCCCAGTAGTACCCTTATTCCCTTTTTGTAGTCCTAGGTTCCTTATAAAGTTACCCAATACCAAAAAGAGTGGCCTTTTTATTCTTAGGTTACTGGGTATCCTAGTTAAGGATCCCTAAACCCTAAACCCTAAACCCTATGTAAGGACTCTTATTTGGGAATATCCCACCTACCTTCATCCCACCTTTTGAGGCCACCGAGGTCGAAGCGGCCCCCCCCCCAGAGGGGGATACAGGAGTTCGGGTTTGGGGTTCAGGGTTTAGGTGTTAGGATAAAAATAGATAGATATAGATATAGATATAGATGAAGATATAGATATACATATGGGTTCGGTGATTTGCATATGTATATACACTTTATTTGTATACACATATGCATATGTACATACAACGTACAGTCTAATATATTGCCCCCAAGAACCCCAGTCAAATGATTGTTTAAGAACCCCATGGTGAGGCACATCTTCGACCGAGCCACCACCCCGGCGGGCGATGGGGTCGACTACAGGATCCGGCAACCATGGACAAACCTTAAAGTGCAGGGTTTAGGGTTGTTGCTTTTTTGTTTTGCCCCAGGGTTCAGGAGTTGTAAGTTTAACTGGGGTTTGGGGGTATTGGTTGCTTGTATTGTTTACTGTTTTCTCCAGCGGTTGGAAGAGCGGTTGAGGGTTTGGGGCTGTACTTTTCTCCAGGGGTTTCGGGGTTTCAAGTTCAGGGTTTGGACTTTTACGGTTTTGGTGCTTTCGGCGGCCATGAACATTCCTGAAACATGCTAGCTGAGAGTTGGAGATGCACATGAGATGAGGTGGGTTCATGTGTGGGCCTCAGGGTTTATGGCCGTTTAGGGCTTAGGGAGGTAGGGTTGCCCTGTGGTTTCAGTACAATCGTAAGTTACGGAGCTAAACTTAGCACACAAACATAAAGCACTCAAACCTCCCCCTTCGTAGAGATATTGCCTTGAAAAGGCCTCTTTTGGTGGGTCCTAGAGACCCCTGAACCTACCGCAATCAGCGACAAAGATGCAGATCCCTAAACCCCAAACCCCACCTGAAACTCATTCAAATTGGCTTGCCGGCTGACAGCTTTGCACACGGCGCAGAATGAAATGATCGTGATGACCGGACGCCCAAAACCCGACGCCCCCAGTCGCTTTGTTTTCAAACTTGAATCTTTCGAGGTATCTTGATCTGACCCCTAAACCCTAAACCCTAAACTTCAATCAGGTATGTTGATTTGACCAAGTACTTCTTCAAGTACGAGGCTGGGCACCCCAAAATCTAAACCTGACTCTCAAAACAAAAATGCCCTCATATTGCAAACGCGCAAAACCTACAGTTAGACCTAAAGGCCTTAACCCCCGGACCGTAAGAGCCAAAACCCGTAAGGGCTCACTCAGTGCACGCTAAGCACGCTAATGAAGCCTTACAGTCTTCAAAGGTTCGGTCGAAAGGTGAAAGGGCTGTTTCTTTGTCATACGTCGTGGTTGCTTGGTCGCTATGATTGTTGCGATTTCTGGCGCTAGCACAATGAGCAGTACGAGCGCCCGCCTGTACTACTCCGAGTACTTTTGCTACTTCTAACACCATGCCTATGGGCCTATTACATATTCCTTTTGCCCCTTGTTTTGGGGTCGCTTGTTGACGCTGAATACCAGGAAAGAAGGTACCCGCACTGTTAAGGCGCAACTTGGGAACCTCGAAGACTCTAGCTGCACTGCATCCCTACTTCATAGCATTCGAACACGCAGGTCGGAAGAGAGCTGAAGCACCCCGTACCCCAAACGAAACCTTCAACGGAAACACCAACAAACTCGGCAAGAAAGAAACTTCCACACTCTCGACCCTAAGCCCAAACTCTAAGGCGCAAAACCGTGATAAGCCCCTATCGCCCTAAACACCTAAAACCCTAAACAACCTAAACCTTAAGCCCCTATGTGCCACTAAAGCCCAACCTTTTTTCTACTCCGAGGATGGCTCACATGGTCGCACTTGCAAACCGGCCCCGCGGGGAGGGATGTGCGTGGGCGTGTGGAATTGCAAGGTTTTTTGGATTCTAGGGGCTCCGGCTCATTACCCTAAGGCCCCAAAGTAGTTCCTTTTTGGGGTGCATATTTAGAATCTCATGGGGTAATCCCAAAAAGGAACTATTATGGGGCCTCTGGGTATTGCTATTGTCGCGACGAGTATGATAGTTTCTGTAATCACAATGTCGTAATTATTGCCAGTAGTGAAAAGTATCTTTTCTAATTATATACAATTATGATTACGATTCTCATTAGGATGCTCACTACTTCGGTGGTTATTGTAGGGCATATAGTCTCAGTCTAGTTCCTTTTTGGGGGCTATCGTTTGTGATCCTATAAATATAAAATTTGGTACATGGGAAAACAGAGCTACAATACAGACTACAGGTTGGAGTGTCGCGCACGCTCTTCGCTCTTCGCTGAGGAAGCCGGCGATGGCCTCACGCTTTCCAGAAGCTAAACTTACCTTTGGTTAGTAGGGAATGGAAGATGGGTAGTAATAGCAGTTTCAATTGTACCCCAATCCTCCATTCCCTACTTACCAACGGTAAGTAAAGGGGCGAGCCTGGCAAGTGGCGCAGCCCTGCTTCGGCGAGGCAGTCGACTTCAGGAGCCGAGCAACGTCGAAGTTGGAAAGCCGTTGGTCAACAGGCATCTTCCTAGGAACCTGATTAAGAAACCCTGGGCCGATAACCCCAAAATAGCAGGGTTCATATAAAGAAGCCTAATAAAAGCCCAAGGGTTCTTAATCAGGTTCCTGCGTTATTCGTCCTCAGAGTACTGAGAATACAATCGGAACTGCGGAGGCAATCCATGTTGCCCTAAGGCTCCATGTACCCATATAGTATATACTTAGGCCTTAAAGTGCCCATATAGGGACCCCTAAACCCTAAACCCTAAACCGCCTTTGAGGCATAAGTATCTACTATAAAGGTCCATGGAGCCGTTGGGTTGTGCAGCCGAAGGACTTCAATACAATCTGGACCCATAGGCGGGTTTAGGGTTTAGGGATCCTTTTTGGGATTACCTCATAGGATTCTACATATGAAGCCCCCAAAAGGCCCAAAAGGAACTACTAGTTGGAGGGTCGGGGGACTTAGTAACTGGTTATTTAACGGACTTATAAGTACCACAACCCCAATTAGGGTCCTTTTTAGGGTACTTGTAAGTCTACTTACTACCTACTTACTAAGTCCCCCGACCCTGCAAGCAGGCCCCGTAGTAGTTCCTTTTTGGGATTACCTTATAGGGTTCTACATATGAAGCCCCAATGGGGCCTATGGGAGCTCCTCAAGCAAGTTCGGGGCACAGCCTGTGCCAGACGGTGCCAACGCAGCGGGGAATTACCCGAGAACGTGGCCATAGAGCCCGTAATGAAGGAAAGTCTTCCTTTTGTGGGTTTGGGGTATTTCCGGTTGCAGGATTTCGGTTTTTGGAGCTTTAAGTTCGGGTTGTTTCGAGGTCTGAGCTCCGGTGTCGAGATTTCGGGTTGTTTGGGGCATTAAGGAAGGCTGTACAGTAGGGGTTTTAAGGTTGGGGTTTTGGGGCATTGGGGTTTTCTAAAGTTGCGCAGTTGTGAGTTCGTTGCGGTTGACATACACCAGGGTTCGGGCATAGTACGTTTCGATTCTTACCACTGTATATAGGATTCGAATCTTGCGACTGTTCAGAGTTTAGGGTTTATAGTTTTGGGTTTAGGGTAGTGTTGCTTTGACATTTGTTCCGCTACCGATGCAGGGGGCGACGCAGCAGACTACAGAATCTACAGTGTACCATCGGTAAACCCTAAACCGCTAAGGCCCTCCCCCCGCAAAGCAACAAAGCACACCAAGACTGTAATGCCCTAAACCCCCTAAGCCCCAAACCCTGCGTAGCAACACCCTAAAACCCCAATTTGCCTCATTGATGACCCAGGTGACAGCGCTGAGTTTGGGGCTCTTGAACCCTCAGCCCTAAACCCTACTTGGAGGGTCGGGGGACTTAGTAACTGGTTTTTTAAGGACTTATAAGTACCATAACCCCAATTAGGGTCCCTTTTAGGGTGCTTATAAGTCTACTTACTACCTGCTTACTAAGTCCCCCGACCCTCCAAGTAGTAACCCCTTAGCCCAGCCCTAAACCTAAACCTAGACCGTTCCGGTTTAGGGCTCAGGGGTGAGGTTGGTTGGACTCTGTCGGAGCAGTAACTTACCTTAACCCATCAGAACCTACTTTTTGTAGGGCCCCTATAAATTCCATAATAGGATTTATAATCCGCACCTACAAAAACGTCCCTTAATTGAAATCCCTAAGTCTCAAACCCCAATCCCTGATCCTTAAACCCTAATTCCTAAACCCCTTAGGTTTTAGTACGAACAAGTAGGGTTTGGTAGTTTAAGGTAGGGTTCCTCTTTAAAGGAGCCTTAAGGATCCCTGAAAGAAGCCCTTAACGAGGGTACCCAGAGACTCCAACATGCCTTATTTTAGGAGTATACCTTAAATCATATAAGGGTTCCTACCATAATTTAAGGAATATTCCTTAATGAAGGGATATTGGAGTCTCTGGGTAGGTCAAGGTAGGCAAGCTCTGCATGTAGCAGCCGGCGAGGCGATGGGTACATCCTTTGCCGCTGGCACCACCGATGGTCCGAGCAACGTGGATGAGCCGCTGGCCCACCTTTGGTTAGTAGGGAATAGGGCTCCTTTAAAGGGATCTATAAGGATTACTAAAAGGGATCAAGAAGGGAACTATAATATAGGGGCCTTAAGAATCCTATAACTTACCTTTGCTTAGTAGGGAATGGAAGAATGGTAGTAATAGTAATTATAATTGTACCCCGTTCCTCCATTCCCTACTAACCCAAGGTAAGCCTGGCCGTTATTGTGGCGGGGGGGGGGTAAATTTTATTTGGGTAGAGTTTATCTGTTTACCTTCACCTACATTATTAACCTACATTATTATGAGATGCTATCAGATCTGTTTTGTTCAGCCCGGGGGGGGGGGCGGTGTAAACTTGAACCCAAGGACAAAATCTTGGATTCTGTCCGGAATTGCCACAACATTATTCCATAGGGCTCCTTAATATAATACTACCATGAATATTACAAATCTGTGTTCTAACTATTTTGGCCCTTATTAGCCGGCCGCATGTGGGTAGTTCTCTAAACGAGGGTCCCCTTTAAGGTTCTTTTATGAGGGTGCCGAAATTAATCTATTTTGGAACCTAACAAGGAAGCCTGATTTAGAAAACTACCCATATGGGAGTTTCCGAAAATCGGGGACCCTAATCTAGTACCCTAAATAGTAGGATCCTTATTCTAAGGACCCCAAAAGAAGGTCGCCCCTAATTTTCGGAAACTCCCTACCATAATCCCCATTAGAGAACCCTTATAGATCCCTTATAGTATCCCTTAAAGAGAACCCTTATAGATCCCTTAGAGTAGCCCTTTAAAGGGACCCTTAGGATCTCCTAAATTTTCGAGAACGACCCATATATCCTTTCGTTTCTGGCTTCGCAGCTCCCGAGCTGCCCTTCCCGGAGACTCCAATACCCCTTAATTAAGGTATATACCTTAAACCATAGTAGGATCCTTAATATGATTTAAGGAATATTCCTTAATTAAGGGGTATTGGAGTCTCTGGATTCTGGTGCAGCCGATTTTTTCAGGGGAAAAAGAGAGAGAGAGACAGCTTCCAAGCGAGACCGCAGAAGATGGGCTCAGGCTCGGGATGACCATGGTATAATACATCTGTGTATATCCGTAGATAGATCTATGTATGTATATATATATATATATATATGTATATATATATATATATAAAGACATGTAGAGATAGATGCGATTAGCATATTCCAGCATAATAAAGTCTCGCACCGTACAGATTTGTAGAGGCCTCAAAAACTGGGATTGGAATATGGCCTTGGGGCACATTACACCTGTTCCCAGACCCCCGGGAGGATCCAAAAAGTAGATCCCTTAATGGGGGTTCCTATAAACTACCGTAGTTAGTAGTATAGGCCCCCAATTTAGGGGATCTACTTTCTAGATCCTCCCGAAGGTCTGGGTTTGGGCACTAAGATACGTTAGGGTGAGCCCTGGTCTTCCAAGCAGGGTTTCACTTGGGGAGTTTTGACAAGTGTTACAGGAACCCTTTTTGAGGTTTAGGGTTTAGGGTGAACGGGTTCCCACTGCGTCCTCTTCTCTAGGGTTTAGGGTATCGGAACCCTTACTTATCCGATTCTTAAGAGGAATTTGTCGGGAACCCTTGCACCTGAAGGAGTTGAAATCCCTGGGACACCGTGGCTTCTGCTTGCGATTTCACAAATCCCACCCTAAACCCGCAACCGAAAGCCGCAAACCCTAAACAACACAATCCGGTCCAAATCTCGAACACCGTAAAGTTTAAACCCTGCAATCCGATCCTAAACGTGAAGACCGCACACCCTAAACTGCGCAACGAGCATCCTAAACCCGAAGCCGTAAACCCGAAGCTTGACCGACCCTGGGCCAAAGCCTTCAAACGACAAATGCCGTTGAATGAAGCCCTTATGGCCTTATGGTCCTTAACAGTGAGGCCTTAGTAGGCGGTTCTGGGTAAACCCTAAACCCCTAAACTTCAAAGGTTTGGGCAGAACATGACTCCCACCAGCGGCTTCCTCAGGCAGACCCGAGATTCCCCGCGTGTTGCAGGGTTCTGCACAGGGACTTGTTGGGATCTGCTAAGGTGTACTAGGAAGGAGTTGCGCCAAAAACGGGGGCCGGCAAGTGCAGAGTACGATGTGTAGGGTTTAGGGTTTGGGGCTGAGGGTTTAGGGTTTAGGGGTTTAGGGGTTTAGGGTTTAGGGGGATTTAGGTGTCTTTTAGTCAGAAATCCTTACATGTAGACCTCTGACTGCCAACCATTGCTGCGGATCCTACTGTTCATTACGGGTCTTTGGGGGCTACTGTGACTTCGGTGATGTGGTTCAGTTCAGCTGCAGTCCCTCCCAAGGGTGGTGTGAGGTTCTATAATTCTATAATACCTTAACTAACCTACCAAAACCTACTTTTTTGTAGTAGGGTCCCTAAAAATTCCAGACTAGGGTTTATAATGAGAACCTACAGAAAAGTAGGGTTTGGTAGTTTAAGGTAGGGTTCCTCTTTAAAGGAGCCGTAAGGATCCCTGAAAGAAGCCCTTAATGGGGGGTATGCATCACGGGTCCGCATGAGCGAACACTCCAGTCTGCCCCTGAAATCAGCAGGGTTCAGGTTGCCCAGCTTACGAACTCACGAGGCTGCTTGAAGGTCTTCGGGTCCTCGTCTGGGATGGTCTAGAGATTTGGGGTGTGGGCATTGATGGTTGGTTCAGATGGGTAGTTGTCAAAATTGTGGTCCCTTTTGGGTACCCTAGGTACCCAAAAGAGGACCACAATTTTGACAACCACCCAGATGTATGAAGTCTTGATGCGCTATACCAGGGATGTCTTGATCTGGGCTCGAGCCTCACACAAAGAAGAGGCGCAGTCAAACATACCTTGCAACAACGTCTCCAAGTTACCTTTCTAGGATCCTGAATCAAAAGCAGGTTAACCCAAGAGAAAGCCTAAACCCTAAACCCTACCCTAAACCCTAAACCCTAAACCGTGGAGACTGCAGGTTCCCTATTAACGGATCCACCACTTTGGTTCAGGGTATGCTCCGCGTGCAAAGGCTTTTGAGGTTCTCTATTGGCCCACCTACAGTCTCCAATGTAGTACCTTTTAGGATCCTTAAGATAAAGTTGGTTAAACCAAAGAAAGGAGCTACAATGAAGATTAATAAAAGGTACCCAAGGGCTCCATAGTAGTTCCTTTTGGGAGTTCATTCTTAGAATCCTATAAGGTAATCCCAAAAAGGAACTACTATGGAGCCTATGGGTAAACCCCAAACACCCTAAATCCAAAGACGCAGGTTCATGGGCCACTTGCTGTCGATGCCCACTGCGGAAGCCAAGAGGCCTGGCCAGGACGAAGGGCTTCATAGCGGGTGTAGGATTTGGGGCTAGGGTTTAGGGTTTCAGGGTTGAGGGGCTAGGGTTTAGGGTTGAGGGGCTAGGGTTTAGAGATTGGGCTTTGGAGGGTTCCTGCTTCAATAGATATAGAATAACATAGCCTAGCCCAAGTTATCAAGTCTTCACAACTCTGAACCCAAAACCCCTAAACAAATAGATTGCAGGCCTCTAAACCTAACAGCACGAAACTCAAAGTCATGAGTTTCCAACTCTAAGCATCCTTGGACTCCAACTAATCATTGATATCGGGGGAGCTCAGGAGCCAGGGATGAGGATAATCCCTATTAAACAAGGAGCTAAAGAGCCAAGGGAACCCCGAAACCACTGGTTGGCCAAGCCCAGGAATCTTCAATCTCAAAAGTAGCCTTTAACGGGCCGCCAAACTGCCAGAGCCCTACATCTCAAACAGCTCCTCATGACACAGGCTGGCTCATGGTGTGTGTGTGTGTGTGTGTGTGTGTGTGTGTGTGTGTGTGTGTGTGTGTGTGTGTGTGTGTGTGTGTGTGTGTCTGTGCCTGAAATCAACCTGTCGTCGGCATTATAAAGTTACCCTAAGGCCCCAAAGCAGTTCCTTCTTGGGATTCATATCTAGAATCCTATAAGGTAACCCCAAAAAGCAACTACTTTGGGGCCTATGGGTACCCAATACCAAACAGGCAAAAAGGGAGCGCGTTTTATTCCTAGCTTACTGGGCATACGCGAAGCATTTGCAGGCCTTAGCCGAAGCCACCCGGCCGGCACCAGACCGGAGCCTGAACATCCGATACGATACTGTGATTTGAGATATGCTCCTTCGCAACAGAGTTTTGAGGTTCGGCTTTAATTAAGTCTCAGTGTTTAGGTTATAGGGCTGTTTTGGCTTGAGTTTAACCTTAAACCTCCGCGACCCTGGCAGTTGCCATGCGCCCAAAGACATCCTGCTCTACACCGGAAGCATGAAGGCGAATCAGAGTTTTGAGTTTGAGGGTCCCAGAGAGCCCAATACCCCTTAATTAAGGAATGTACCTTAAATCACAAGGGGATCCATATTATGATTTAAGCTATATTCCTTAAGAAAGGGGTATTGGGCTCTCTGGGGTTTAGAGTTTAAGGTTAAAGGTTTTTTGCGGTAAGAGTTGTTAATGGTTTAGGATAGGATTTCATCTACGTGATTGAAATAGTAGTCCTTAGTAGTCCTTAGTTTTGCTGTAACATGCCTCCGAACCCTCTTCTCGTCATCGAGGCCTCGACATCAGGGTTATGAAGGCGGTTGTCGGTAGAGCTATTCCGGTTCTGGCTAGGGTTCAGGGCTACAGCGGCCATTTTCAGATGGCCTTTACCTTAAGCCGAAATAACCTACCTTTTTAAGGACTTGTATATGGAAATCATAATACGGAACCCTAAAAAGGTAGGTTATTCCGGCTTAAGGTAGAGTCAGCATAGAGATTTCAAGCGGCCCCTGAAGGCCGCCGGGGGATGGCCCAGGTTCCCGTCAGACTTTCGGTTTCATCAAAGGGGAGAAGGAGGGACCCTTAATGGGGACCCTTATATAGGGTTCCTTAAAGGGATCTATAAGGATTCTACAAAGGGTTTAGGGTTTCGGGTCTGCAATGTTCAAAGGGGAAAAGGAGGGACCCTTAATGGGGACCCCTATACCCTATAATGGGCTATATAATGGGTACATAATTACTATATTAAGGGTATTTGCCTAGGGGTCCTTATTAATGGTCCCTCCTTATTTTACTCTTGGATTTCAGTATTGCGGACTTCTGGCTTCGGAGTGAAGACTCGCTTGTAAAAAGCGCTGCAAGAGACTTGCAACGGCGGAGCTTTCAGCAGCTCCCAAACCATACACCTATGAATGATACCAGGTAATATAGAGATCTGAGCAATAGGCAATTAGGGGAAGGGCCTCCTATGTACGTATAGCTTAAATCATAATATGAATCCCCTTATAGTTTAAGGTATATTCTTTAATTAAGGGGTATTGGGCTCTCTGGGAACCCATGCTCGTGCCGGTCCATGTCCAAGTGAAGTGGAATTCATTCCTTACCCTGCCAATGTTTCTTGGCTTAAAAGTACCCACTTTAACTTTACTGTAGGCTTAGGCCTAGGGGTATACCTGCTTGTGTTTTCTTTAGGGTCCGATATTTGATGCCAGCATCGCTTTTGAAGGGCTGCGAAGGAGCCTTCACCCCTATATCCCTCTAACTCTAGGCCCTACCCATAGGCCCCGTACTAGTTCCATTTCGGGATTATGTTATGGGATTCTACTTATGAACCCCCAAAAGGAACTACTATGGGGCCTGTGGGTAAACCCTCTATAACACTCGAAACCCCCAAATCTAAACCCCTACACCACGGAGTGACCCCAGAAAGTAGGATTAAGAGTAAAGGGAACAAGAGCCAATGCAATTCCGTGTTGGGATTCCTTATGCTTCACCTTAAAGGCATCAGGATCATGATGTTCCAACTTTCTGGGTTCTAGTGTAACGCATCTGATGCACGAGCTGCCTGCGCTTGCGGGGAAACAGCCTGCCGAAACCCTAAACCCTAAGCCCTAAACCGCTAAACCCTAAACCCTAAACCCCTAAACCCTAACCCCTAAACCCCTACACCCTAAACCCCAAACCCCGAAACCCTAAACCCCTAAACCCTAAACCCTAGACCTTCATGAACGCCTTAAACCCCTAAGCCTTGGGCAGCTTCCGAAAAGAGGCGCCCTATCCGTACATGCCCTCGAAGATGGCCTTTCAGCTCATCCGCATTGGGAGCCCCGACCATCCTAGAGAAGGCTTTACTTTAAAGGGATCCTTAAAGGGTTCCGTCAAAGGGATCCTCAAAGTGATCTATAGTGGATTAGGGTTTTTAGGGTTATAGGGGTTTAGGGCTTTCGGGTTTAGGGGTTGCGAGTTGTTGGGCTTAGGAGTTTAGGAATTAAGCTTTGAGGGTTTAGGCTTTTGGGGGTTTCCGATCGTGGGGGTTTGGGGTTTAGGGGCTTCGTGTTTGGAGTTGAGGGGCTTTGGGTGTAGATTCGGGGTTTAGGCTCCAGGGTTCAGGGTTTCAAGTAGGGGGGTTAGATGCATAGAGGGGGCCCTAGTAACCCCTAAGCTTAAACCCTAAACCCTGATGACGTTGAGGCGAGCCATTGCGCTTTCAAAAAGCTTGATGATGGAGCCCTGATGAGGAGCGAGGGCTTCTCAATCAGCCTCCTCCTGTAGGAATCTGCTCAAGAAACCTTGCGCCTTTATTAGGGTTCTTTATATGAATCCTACTATTTTTGGGTTATAGGCCCCGGTTTCTTAATCAGCTTCCTACATTACTAAACCCTGAAGTCCAGACCAAGGAACCTGATCATTGCTGGTGTGCCTGGCGCCTTCCTCAGTCAAGCAGAAGAATGAGCAGGGGGAAGCCTGAGGATTATTGAGTTCGGGGTTTAGGGCGTAGGTAGCAGCAACAGAGTTAGAGGTGCTACTCTGTGAGTTTTTTCGTCGAAGGGATGTGAGGGTATCTTCCAATATCTGTTGAAGCAGAGCACGGCCAAAGTAATTGAACAAAAGTGCAAAACCAGGTAGTAAGGCTTTCCGGCACGGATGGTTCCTTCGCAATGACAAGCCTGCCTGGCTTTGATTGCCTGGCTTTTGTTACAGCATATGGTGCCCTCACTAGCATCCCGAGCACAGGCTCAACCTCGTAGAAATCCACTCGCAAGACGTGAACTTCGGAGCCTCGACTCCAGGACACAAGTGTGAGATTCGTACCAGGCTTGCTGCAACAAGAAGACAAGACAACGAATTGCATATTGTCGTCGGCTCTTTCAGTGAGAAGAGCTCTGCGACTGAATCCTGAACAGAAAGAGCTTACTGCAAAAGTCTTACGAAACTGTTCTTAAAGCCCTCGTCTTGCCCTAAACCCTTCAATCATGCTATATATATATATATATATATATATATGCGTATATAATATAATATATGTATATATATATATATGTATAATATATATATATATATATATATACACACACACACATTTATTATAATGAGCAAGCACCGCATCACGTCTCCAGGGGAGTTCACCACCATGGCCGGGCGGAGAACCGCCAAAGCCCTCAAGAAGATCTTCGTGGAGAAAGGCCGTTTGGGGTTTGGGAGTGTTTGGGGTTTAGGGTTTAGGGTTTTGGGTTGAGGGCCGTTGTGGCCCTGCTGTCCAACCGACTTAAAACCTGTCCTAAACCATAAAGCTTCGCTGCAAGTGTCACATGTCCCAAAAGGCTGGATAGAAGAGCCCCACTGCTGATAGCACCCGAATCATTCAAGAGTGCCCTTCTAAAAGCTGTAAGAAGCCACAATCGATGTCTCAGGCTTTCCGATCTCCGTAGTTCTATTAAGTCTATAGCTGTATTTGCCTTCATCTCTCGAAATGCAGGTGTTGTGAGTCCAGATGCTCGCGTGGTTATCAACAACTGTGCCAGCGGCTATGCCACGTCCTCGGATGGTGGTATCTGCTGGAACCTTAAAACTCGCAACTTCAACTTCGCACTGCGCTACACTCAGTCCTGTAGACACTCCGCTGCATCAGTGCACCGCCTGCCTTTCTTCTGATCCTCTGGCCGCGGAAATAATCATCCGAAGACACTCCCCAAGTCTCAACAAGACTATAGGCTCCTTATTGAGATCCCAAGCTTCGGATCGGGAGGCAAGGTTCACGCACATGTACATGCTACATCAAGATGGTCATCCGAGCAACTTGTTGAGTGCTTTCCTGAGGCTGGCTACGTTACGACTATTGAGGACGAGCTTGGAGGGAGGGGCGCGGCGAACCGCAGCAGATAGGTTCGATGACACAATTCTGCTAAACCCGAAACCCTAATCCCGAACCCTCAACCCTAAGTACTCAAACCCAAAACCCTAAACCCCAAACCCTAAGCCCTAACAACTCCCAAACACAAAACCCTTTTGGGACTCTCAGTCCTAAATCCTTTCAAGGTAAGAGCTCGGGTTGTAGGTCTTTGTGTCACTAAGTCCGGAGCCTGGACCTCTTGTTGAGGAGTTATTGGGTTTTTACGGGTGTATATTGGGTTTAGGGTTTAGGGGCGTATGAGGGTATGTTCGAGCTTTTAGGATGTATTAGGTTACATCGCAGGAGTATCAGCACCAGCGCTACGAGGGTGCATCCACTGCTTATGGCCCCCACACTCACGGCGTGAGCTCAGCTGCAGTCATTGTTTCGGTGTGGCATGAAGGCTTCACATGCCTGCTTTACATGATTTCGGGCTATACTGTTAGATTCTGCAGTGCAGTCCTTCACCCAGAGGCTGCGGGTTTAGCCTTCCTTCAGAAATGCCGGATTTTGTGCTGCGAAGCTGTGCCTGAAGCGTGTGCTTTAGCCTAAACTCCAAACCATCAGCCTTGCCTTCCTATTCTTGGGTCCCGAGTTCCGGGTTCATCTCGGAGCTCATCCGGTCCTTGAGGGCCGATCTTAACGGTACTGCTGATGGACAAAATCCTGCATGACCGTAAGGACTCTAAACTATGGGAACTATGGTATATTCCTTATAATGGGTCATGCAGGATTTTGTCCATCAACAGTATCAATATTAGCGTCCGCCATACGTGCCCACGGTTCTTTGTTGCTTGCTCCACACGTGAGTTAGGCATGAGAGAGACTGCCTTGAGGCTAGTGTACTCCCCTTTTTTGTGAACCATATTAGCAATAACACTAGAGTCAAAATAGTTGTAAGCATATTCGTTGTTAATCACGGGTTACGAAAAGCAAGCCGCCATGCCAACCGCTGCATGTCATGGGCCCGGGGTCGTGGACCCCAGGCCCGAACAGCCTGTACCCTGGATACCCCAAATCCGCAACCCTGAACCCAAAACAGTTTAAACCCCTAAATCCTAAACCCGGGATCCTCAACTCCCCAAACTCCATGCAACCCTTTATTCCGTGTCAAACCACTTATGAAAGTACACGCTTTCTAAGCCAGCCGCATACCCCTGTATACAAACCTCATAAGCCTCAGTGTTACAGTGCCTCTGAAGCACAAAAGAAATCATCAAAGCCCCAAATAAGCCCCTGACAAACCCGAGCATACCCCAGGCACAACCTGACTAGTACTACTCCTACGACTTTGACGACGACGACTACTAGTTAGTGCTGCCACTGCTGCTACTACTGCTACTACTACTACTACTACTACTGCCACTGGCCCTTCCACTACTACAGCGACGACTACTGCTGCTGCTGGTACTACTACGACGACTCCTGCTACTACTACCAAAACTACTACTACGACTACTACGACGACTACACTAACACTACTACTACTACTACTACTACTACTACTACTACTACTACTACTACTACTACTACTACTACTACTACTACTACTACTACTACTACCACTGCGACGACGACGACGTAGGAGCCCTTACGTAAACACCTAAACTCGAAAGGCCTCAAGTTCCAAACCGCCCTGGAAAAACCCGAAAGACCCTAAACCCTAGACCCTAGAAAACCCGAAAGCCTTGAAACTGTAAGCTTGAGGCCATCTAGACTCCTTCTTGGAGGTTCATGGGTACTTGTAAATGGGGTTATAAGTCCCTTAATTGGGGTCATGACTATAGTTATCCTACTTATAACCCTACTTATAACTACCCATGAACCTCCAAGTAGCCCCTAGAAAACCCGAAAGGCCTCAAACGGTAAACTTGAGGCCGTCTAGACTTCCCCTAAACTAGAAAACCCTAAACCCTAAAAAACCTAATCCCAGCAACCCTAAACTCTGTACCCTAGAGAACCCTAAACCCCAAAACCCCAAAAACCCTAAACCCTATATACTAGCCCCTAGGCAACCCGAAAGCCCTGAAACCCTAAACCCTAAAAGCCCTCAAACCCGAAACCCCTGAGGCCATGACCAGCATACTCAAGGAGATGGCAAAGGCGACGGCATTGCGGCTTGAAGCCCCAAACCCCTAAAACCCCTAAACCCTCAAGCCTAAGCCGCCCTAGAGCCCAAAACACTCCTTGGGAGGGTTTACAGGAGGGGTTTTAGGGTTTGAAGTTAGTTTAGGGGATCTCAGAGAGGCCAATACCCTTTAGTTAAGGAATATACCTGGGGTTATAAGGTGGCGCATAATATGATTTAAGCCATATTCCTTAATCAAGGGGTATTGGGCTCTCTGGGTGGGGGGCCTTCTATGGAATCAGGTTTCTAGGGTTTAGGGCTTTAGGGTTTTAGAGGTTTAGGGTTTAGGGTTTTAGGGTTTAGGGTTTTAGGGGTTTACCTATAGTCTCCATTGTAGTTCCTTTTTGGGGGTTCCCTTTTAGGATCCTTTATATAAAAGTGGTTAAACCAGAAAAAGGAACTACAATGGAGACTATAGGTAGGGTTCAGGGTAGGGATCAGTTCAAGGGCTTCTTGAATGGGCTAGAGTTATGTTGGGCTTGCTGTCGGGCTGCGCGTTTCGGGGTTTATGGTTGGGGGTTTTCGCGATTGCAAGGGTTTAGGGTTTAGGGTTGAAGTTAAGGTTGTGCAGAAGTTGTATGGTGTAGGGTGTACATTTTTTGATAGGGCTGTGCAGGGAACTGGTATGTTGAGAAGGCCGGAGATTGTCCTGTAAGGGTTCTGTATATTACACAGGTTCTAAAGTCTAAAGGGCGCGAGGGATTACAGTCTTTTTTGCTCCGAACTGTTCTATAACTTTTCTTGTTACTAGGGCGCATTGGTGGGTTGCAGAGATTTGAGGGTTTTCCGGATTTGGCTTCGGGGTTGAAAGTTAGATTTCGGGTGTCGGGCTCAGGATTTTGTTTTAGTTCAGGTGGGGGCTCTCGAAAACGGTTGTTTAACCCCCAAGGGTCCAAAGGACCCAATAATTAGGTACTTGGTTTTGGGATAGTAGTTATGTAGGTTAGAATTTTGGAGAGTGTATGGTTAGCAGGTACCTGGACCCTTGGGGTAGGGTCTAGGGTGAATGGCTTGTTGCCTAAGTTGTCCTCTCATAGACAACATGCTTTCAAGAGCAAACGCCAGAGCCTACACTCGTGAGACTGGTGGCTACAAGTTCGTCTCGCGCTAGACCCCAAACCATAAGCCAGTGGAACATGTTCCTTTCGCGCAGCGAGAATCGGACAACTAACTATACGATCAGCCGCAAGCCCTCAACCCTTCACCCTCTACAAAATATCTTGTTCGTCTAAGCGAAACAAAATACACAAAATAGCCACGTTAACCAACCGCCCAATAAAAAGAAGATACACAAGCAGAGACATACTTGCATAAGTGCCTGTGTATGTGTATGCCTGTGTACATACATGATGTAGGCAGATACCATATCATAAAACATATATGTATATACGCATATGCATGCATATATATGTTTAAGTATCTATATACATATATACACATAAACATATGCACGCTCACATACATATATACATATATGCATACATGTTCCCATGGGTCGGTGGGTTGCAGGAGATGGCGGAGGGCAAAGCCTACCGTTGGCCTGGTGCCCCGCCATCGATTCCCACAGAAGCGCAATTGTGGGAGGGCCAGCCGCTCTGCCTCATAGGGTTGAGGGTATAGGGTTTGGGGTTGTGGAAACTTTTAGGGTTTGGGGTTTAGGGATTGTGGAAGCTTTTAGGGTTAAGAGTTTACCTTAACCCACCAGAACCTACTCGTTTGTAGGGTCCCTATAGATTCCATAATAGGATTTATAATAGGCACCTACAAAAAATGTAGGGTTTTGGTAGGTCAAGGTAGGGTTTAGGGCTTAGGGCTTCGAGTTTAGGCTTTAGGGCATTGGTGGATTGAGAGGTGCTCAGATTGACTTTGATGGCCTAAGGGAACTTTTCACTTGTTGGCCCAGCATCTGCGGTCTTTAGTAGAACTTTATCGAGTCCAGTTAATGAAGAAGATATGGCATTTCATGTTTACTTATGGGTTTAGGAGTTTAGGCTTTGGGGGTCAGAGTGTGTCGACGCTGTGATTCTCGACTATGAGGTTTAGAATGTAGAATCACCTCCCCACTGAAGGGTGGGAAAGAGCTTTACGGTTCAAAGATTGGCTTAAGGATTCTTCAATGGCTCCTGTAGCCTTTTCGGATCCTTTAAGTCTTCCCGCTCACGTTGCGCTTTATGTAGGTTCTTGTGAAGGTTCTTCAAGGGGAGGGGAGTTTTGAAAGTTCCCGAAACTGTGTTCCATGTGTTCCTTTTAGTGTTTTTTATTGGTTCTTCAAGATGTTTTATGGGTTGCGTCGCTCACATGAACCCAAGGGGTCCTAAGTTCTTACATGTGGGATACTTACCCAAACTATAACACCAGTTCCTACTAATGGAGAAGCCCTAAGCAGCTCATGCTGCAGTGTGACAGTGCGCATCTGGTTTCGAGCTGCCCTCAACCCTGAGGAAGACCACGAACCGTAAACATGCAGGTCTCAAAAGTTTAGTTGGAGGTTCACGGTTAGTTTTTGGTAGGGTTTTAGGATAACTACAGTTATAACCCAGGATAAAGGCCTTGCACCCCCCAATAACTACCCATGAACCTCCGAGTAACCCGTAGAGGAATCCTACTTGGAGGGTCGGGGGACTTAGTAACTGGTTATTTGAAGGACTTATAAGTACCATAACCCTAATTAGGGCCACTTTTAGGGTACTTATAAGTCTACTTACTACCTACTTACTAAGTCCCCCGACCCTCCAAGTATCATCCTCAGGAGCGACGTCGTCTCCGACGATCCTCCTATCGGCCGGGGGCCTCAGCACTGGTCGTCCATCGTAGTGAGCGGATTGTGTAGGGTCTCGGTGAGTTTCATTTTTTTTTTTTCGCGGGGCGGCCTCTAGGGATGTTTTATAAGAGTTCCGTGTTGATCGCATTCGAGATTTCCGGTTACCGTCTGAAATTATGTAGAGCTTCTTCCAACGAGTAAGGGCACTTTTCGCTAAGCTTCCTGAATGAGGGGCGGGGCATTCAGAGTCACCTATGGAGGATTGTGTATGGCATGCATCCTGTGAAGGGTGCTTGAAAAGATTTATGGCGTACTCCTTCATTGCGGAGCCCCTATATGCCCTATGGACCCTCAACCCTATCTATCTGTATCTATACATATGTTGGACGACTTAAAATTTACTAGTTCCAGCTTTTCCTGGATTTTGGGTTGCTGGGTTCAGGGTGTAGGGCTTTCGGTTTAGGGTTCAGGGTTTCGATCGTTTGCATATGGCTCCGTCTTGAAATCGGATTTCCGTATTGGGTCTCCTAACACCTATAGGCCCCAAAGTAGTTCCTTTTAAGATTGCCTTATAGGATTCTACATATGAACCCCCAAAAGGAACTACTTTGGGGCCTATGGCTAGAGGCCGCTTATGCCTCCAGGGACTATCCTCGAGACTCGAAGACCCCGAAAATTCAGAAACGGACCGGTTTAGGAACATGGTGCAGGGTTCAGGGGGATCCATCTTGTGATTATACTATAAATACATTCCGCAAATAGCAGCTTAATGCGTTAAACCATAGGGGGCTCCGTAATATGATGTTCGGTTCTTCTCCGTAGTTGAAGGTGTGGAATCCTTGGGGGCTCTGAGGTCTATGGGAGCCATACTGTGATTTTTGCTAGCTCCCGTAAAGTCATACTTGTGGGGTCCTGGTGTAGTGCTTGTGTTCCTGAGGAGTAACCCTAAAGCCTACACCCTACTTGGAGGTGCACGGGAAGTTATATGTGGGGTTACAAGTCCACTAAGACGGGTTATAGCTGTAGTTATCCTACTTATAATCCTACTTATAACTAACCATGAAGCTGCAAGTGCACCCTATGCTTGCGGAGTCCTTGTCTTCCTGAGGTTACCTACAGTCTCCATTGTAGCTCCTTTTCCTGGTTTGACCAACCTTATATTAAGGATCCGAAAATGTGATCCCAAAAAGGAACTAATTAGAATGGAGACCCTAAACCCTAAAGCCCAAAAAGGAACTAATTGCAATGGAGACCCTAAGCCCTAAACCCGAAAGGCAAGAATGGAACTAATTACAATGGAGACCCTTATAAACCCTAAACCCTGAACCCCCAAAAGGAACTAATTACAATGGAGACCGTAAACCCTGAATCCTAAAGCCCAAACAGGAACTAATGACAGTGGAGACCCTAAACCCTAAAGCCCAAAAAAGGACCCACAATGGAGACTGTAGGTAACCCTAAACCCTAAACCCTAAACCCAAAACCCTAAACCCAAAACCCTAAACCCTAAACCCAAAACCCTAAACCCTAAACCCTAAACCCAAAACCCTAAACCCTAAACCCTAAACCCTAAACTTAGGTAACCTTCATGACCTCGGGGAGACCCTGCAGGTCCTCTGAGATCTGCGCACTAGGAAGGACCCTAGGGTTTCGGGTTTAGTGTTTAGGGTTTAGGGGTTTAGGGGTTTAGGGTTTAGGGTTCCTACTACAGGTGCGTTAAAAATTGCCTATACAGTGTTTTGCGCTCCTGAAAAAAGTAAGAATAATGATAGTAGAAGATACCGATACCCCAAAAAAACCCGTTCTAATTATCAAGGGCGGACCACCAGAGTATGTAGAATATAGGCTTTAGGCCACTATTTTACCTACTTTGGGGGGTTTAGGACTTGTTCAACAACCGTAAATAAGCTCACCTTAAGGTCGGAAGCCATGAAGGCACGTGATGCGAATCCTCACTTGGCGAAGCGCGCATCAGCCGTAATTCGGAAACCCCCAAGGATTGAGATCAGGTTCGTGTTGAGGGATCTGTTTAGGGTTTAGGGTTTAGGGGTTTTCGGTGTAGTGTTGTAAGGATTTTCAACAACCGCCTTGTTTTGACAGCCTGAGCATTTAGGTGGCAAATTCGGTGACGTGAAGTCCGATGTGCTGGGCCAGAACTACCGCCCAGGTGCCGTGGTGCAGGCGCGAAACCCAAACCCCGTACATAGAGTTCACTATATTTGTCGTTGTTCTATAACGTGCCCCCCCAAACCTATGTTGAGCGTTGAGACCCCTATATGACACCCCAACCTCAAGAATCTCACCATCTCAGATTTCAGCCAGTGGCCCACTATTCATGAACCGCTAAACCCCCAAACCCTTAGCCCCCAAAACCCTTATACCCTTAACCTCTAAACCCTCGCCCCCTAAACCTTATACACCCTTCAACCCCCTACACCCCCAAAAGCCCTAAACCCTTTAAATCCCTCAGCCCCTAAAGCCCCCAAAATCCTCAATCCTTTAGTCTCTAAAGCCTTAAGACACCCAAACCCTGAACCCCAAGCCCCTAATTAAACCATACACCCTTAATTAAACCCCAAATCCTAAACCCGGGCAGACAGACAAAGCAAAGTCACCCCAACTTAAAAAAAAAAAAACCCTGAACCCTAAACCCCAAACCCTAAACCGACGGACCTGAACCCCTAAAACCCCCCAAAAAAGGGCCCCTTTCGCCTCGAGAGCGAAGGCTACGATCTGGGGGGCGCATCCGCGGAACAACCTCCGCCGGAACTCCACCTTTGCGTCCGTTTGGCGCTCCGAGGCCCGTTGGTTTAGGGTTTAGGGTTCCTTCAAGGGATCTATAAGGGTTCCTTTAAAGGGATCTACAAGGGCTCCTTTAAAGGGATCAAAAGGGTTTAAGGGTTTTGGGGTTTAGGGGTCCAGGTAGACCAGGGGAGCATGAGACGGGTTTTAGGGTTTAAATGGATTTAGGGTTTGAGTTTCAGGGTTTTAGGGTTTTGGGGCAGAGTTTGGGGGGTCTATTTAGTGGTTTCAGGGTTTACAAAAGATTTAGGGTGTGGGTGTCTTTCTAGATCTACTGTTTCGTGGCTTTGGGTTTAGGGGTCTGGGGGTTACAGGGCTTACAGGTTTTAGGGTTTGGGAGTCAGGGCATTGGTTGGGGTTTAGCAGTTTAGGGTTTGACCGGGGTGAGGATTTTCGGTTAGAGTGGAGGGGGTTTAGGGCTTCAGGGGGCTATATAGATTGCAGGAGAACGAGAGAGACAGAGAATAGAGCGATAGAGAGGGAGAGAGATAGAGATAGAGCGAGAGAGAGAGATCTCGGTGCGCCGTGACATGCCATGACAAGCTCGCAGTGCCCTCTCTCTTTTGCCGATGCTGCGCCGATCGAATCCAGCGGCGGCACGAGAGGGGGATGACGCGGAGCCCTTCTGCAAATACTGTGCTCTGGGATGCACCGGCAAGAACCTTAAGCACGTCAGGGAAGACGTCCGGTGCCAGCTCCATGGCATTCCACCGCGGCGGGGGGACTGCAGAGTACGGGACCTTCAGCTACACCGAGCTCCAGCACCTGCGCCCCAGAACCTGGCAGGGGGATCGTTCGGGGGAATACGTCGACAAGCTCAGAAGAAGAGCCACTTACTAGCTCCTCCGCCTCCACTACCGGCGACCCGGAGGGACTCTAAAGCATCTTTTGAACCGCAAATCCCAGAGCCGAATTCCTAGGCCCGAAACCTTGAATGCAAGTCTCCCGGTGCCCTCTGAAACTTGGGCCCCAAAGAGGCCTGACTCGACCGAATGTAGGGGCATGCCACCTGAGCCCAAAGACCCAAGAGTTCATATTCAGAAACTGGAAAAACCTTAAGTCCTATACATCCTAAGCCCCAACCCCTCGAAGCGTGGGCGAAGGATGGCAAGGCGCCTTGGAAAATGGCCGCCGCCTAAGTTTGGTCTATGGGTTTACGTGGGATTTAGGGTTCAGGGTTTCGGGTCTGCAATGTTCAAAGCGGAAACGGAGGGACCCTTAATGGGGACCCCTACCGTAGAAAGGGCTATATAATGGGTATAAAATAGCTATATTAAGGGTATATATACCTAGGGGTCCTTATTAAGGGTCCCTCCTTTTACCCTTGGAAATGTAGTATTTAGGGTTTGGGCTTTCGGGTCTTGGGTCAGAGTCAGAGGTTTAAGGTTTCGGTTCTAGGATTTCGGGTTCAGGCATGCCGGGGTCGGGATTTAGGGTGTAATTGAGGGGGACGTAGACTTTGGGGTATTGGAAGTCGTCTCTGTCTCAACAGTTACTTATACCCAGAAAACCCAATACCCTTAATGAAGGAGTATATACTGTGGATCAACATAAGGGGCTTCGTTGTATATATTTTCCGCTATATTCCTTAAAAGCCTCAAGTAATCGGTACTTGGCTCTTTGGGTAATTGCACTTGAACCTTCAAGTGCTGGGGGGCCTCGTTTTTTCGAAAGTTTCCGGAGGGTTTTGACCTTCGGGCAGCTCAACACAGAACGTCCATCCCCCCTTTCCTGGCCTTCAGTGCCTTCAAGAGGATCTTGTGGTTCAACTCCTGAAATAGAGCACAGATACAGCGTGACCAGGCTTTGGTGGTCGTTTCACTCTTTATGTCGTTGCTTGGTCCCGAGGTGGCAGATGACAACGACTGGGAGTTGCGTTTCGAATGGAAGCGTGTAGGCGCGGAGGTTGGATTGCGTGGGTTGTTTGATAGCGCTGTTCAGGGTTTGTTGTAATGTTTTAAGTTTAACCACTGGCAGCAAAGCTTCATGTTGTCATCATTGTGACTCGTCCTTGTTGTTTTTGTCCTATCGCCAACCTAGTAGTCGAGTAGGTAACCTTTAACCTTTTTTGGGTAGTATGGTCCCTATATAATCCCTATATAACAAAAAAGGTTAACCTTTAGTAAGGGATGATACCCGACAAGTAGGCCAAACTTGTAGACTCTTGAGTCCCAGTGTTATAGTGCCAATTGCCGTCGAGGGCAGTGTCACCACCGCCAACGCTGCAGTAGCAGAGGCATCATCACTAATTTCCTAGCTGGGCTCCACCTGAAAAGGTATCGGTCAGCTGAAATGGTATCCTGAGGTCTGAGGAATTGCCGATTTGCTTCTGTCCTGGTCATTTTCCTGAAGCCACGACGCCCGGCACGTTGAGCAAAACCACTGTTGAGCAGCTAACCAAAGAGGATCAGGGAACTTCGTAAGCAGGCTTATGAATAGAATCTTTTTCGCTTTGCCCGTGATTAGTATATTGTAGCCCGAAGCCGGGCACGTCTAGCCACAACGTACCTGCATGTACCTGCTAAGTCCCAGGGACCCGCCGCTTTTCAAGCCCTCGTAGAGCCAGCTACAGGGAACCCTCATAAGCCTACTTGCGAAGTCTCCTGATCCTGTAAGCCCCCTCAACCCCAAACTCTGAATCCTAAGCTCTAGGCCTACCTCTTTAGGTGTCCTTATTTATTATGGTTTCCCAAATGAAATCTCGAGAAAACAGAAACGGCAGGCTCGCACTGAACCCTAAACCCTCTCTACGCGGTTCTTGCAGGCATATCGGCGAGCACCGTGACGATCACTTGGGAGATCCCGGAGGATGCGAAGACGGGATTCTACTCTTTGCGCCTCTGCCCTGAAGACTTTTTGGGGGGAGAGGGTTTAGGGATGTTTAGGGTGTAGGCTGCAGGGTTTGGGGTTCTACTCTTTGCGCTTCTGCCACGAAGAGTTTTGTTCGATTGTGGAGGAGGGATTTTAGGGTTTCGGCTTTTGGGTTTTGTGGAGCGGTGGCAACGACAGAAGCAACCGGGCTAAGTACCAAAAAGGCAGATCAACAAACCAATACTTCAAGACTAACCATATTCAGTAATAGTGGTAAAATTAAGAACAGCAGTGCATGCAGATTGCAACAATATGAGAAGTTATAGCAATGGGAGTATTGGTGATATTAAATAGCAGTAGTCACAATCACCGTGTTGTCAATAGTATGATGCTGATGATGATGATGATGATGATGACAGTAGTCAGGAGTGGAAGAATACGAAGAAGACTCAGAACAATAATGATGGGAACAGCGGCAAAAACAAGCATCATAGCAACAGCAACAGTAGTAACTTTATTACTAATGTTAGTGCTAAGTGCTGATAAGAACAACTGTGGCAAACAAGTTAGCATGTAACAAACAGAGCTAAACTAAAAAACGTGTTAGCCTGCGAGACCTGTGCGGCTTTGTGGCCAGCAAGCGAGACAGGGCCAAGCGAATAAAACATGTTTAGAGTTTGCACTTTAGGGTTTATGGTTCAGCTTTTCGGGTTTAGTGTTAACCGTTTTGGGCTGAGGTCTTAGAGGGTTCAAGTCTTCGGGTTTAGGGCTTGGGGAAAGAAAGGCGAAGCAGAAGAGCCCTGAGCCTTGGGTTCTGAGGCACTACGGCGGTGAAGCGAAACACTTGGGGAAGATCATCTCCATCAGTGGCGCCTGCCCCAGACCTTGCGCAGGGCCCCCGCAGTAATGTAGGGGTTCAGCTGATACAGATCTTTCTGGATAGTGATTGTTTTTTGAAGCTTTTCAATCAAGGCAAAATCTAGAACTCCGGAAGTGCGCGTCTGCAATACAGGTCTCTACTGCATTCAAGCTCGCGGCTGGAAATCCTATTGGCTTTGAGCCTTACACAAAGAATTTCCAAGTCCTGGTCTCATGTCGCTCTTCTTTCGGAGCTGCAGGTCACAGCCGAACTTTCCGTGTGGAGAGACCGCCGGAAAGCGTTGCCACAGAGTGAGCATCGCGGTCAATGGTAAAGACGTAGGCAAAACTTTACACGGATCATGGCTCATTAGAGTAGTTCCACGAGGGTCTGGACTTCATGTAGGCATGTACTGTGTACTTGAGCAAAGATCCGGAGTAGCACAGAAGTATCTACATGCCCTCTGTTGATATACACAGATACACATTCACATACATATACATATCTGTAGACGGTAGATTTCCGCATCTACATATGTTCGCTCCCCATTTCTACAAGCAGTATACCAGGCCCTTGGCTCAAGCGGCCGGAGGCTTACAGCGGAGTTGCCGTCGGCTGAGCCTGGGCAGCGAGAACGCCGCGCCTTGGCCGGTCGGGCGGCAACCACCGAGCCACAGGGGTGCAGGGCATTTCTAGAAGGGTTACTACAAGGCACGCTATAACGGTGAAGGCTATAATATAAGGCTTACTAAAGGCTATAAGGGATACTACCAGGATCCTACACCCTACAAAACTTATAAAAATTAAGCCCAGACTGATAGCTTCGGTCATGCCCTGCACCCAGCTTGCATGCTGCACGTGCTCGAAATCCGACTTGAGCCCAGCAGCTGAACCTGAACCACAAAAAACCATGGGTTGCTATTCTGGGGTCCTTATGATAAGGGTCCTACTATTTCAGGTACTCTGTTGGGGTCCCCTATTTTTGGAAACTCCCAAATCGCTGTTCTGAGAAAGTGGTTAACGGTGGGGTTTTATAGGGTCCTTTGTCTTGTGTTTGTTGCAACAGGATCACTCTAAGGGGATATTTTGTTCAGACCTGGATTGCAGGGAGAAGACTATAAAGCTTCTTGTAGTACCCCGTATAGTACCCAGAGTACCGAAAGACTGTATGAAGGAGCCCTTTCAATCCCTCATAAATTTCTTCATGGGAGCCTATAGATTGGCTCTGGTGGTCATGTAGAAGCCAAAAAGTCGGAACATCATTTCCCTCATCTTAAGGAAAAGTATAGGGAATCCCAGCACAAATCATCCTAAGCCCATGTTCCAACTTTCTGGGGTTCACTCTAGCCCTTAGACCCTAAACCCTAAAAAAACCCGAAACCTCTACCCTAAACCTTAAATCTTATACCCTAAACCCTATACCCGAAACCCTATACCCTAAGCCCTAAGTCTTATACCCTAAACCCTGTACCCGAAACCCTATAACCCCTATAGTACTGGAGGATCGGAAGGAAGTTCAGCCCTCTGGGATCTCTTAGGAACCAACGGGGGCCCCCATAAACAGCGCCGGCCGTGGAAAGGACTCAGCGGCCTCAGCTTAGACTCCTTAGTAGTACCCCTTGTTGGATTTAGGGTGGAGGCTTTAAGGTTTAGGATTTAAGGTTTAAGGATGTAGGGTTTAGGCATTAGGGTTTGCACGTTTTCTTGTTGTAGTTCCTGTATTAAAAACCGACCGAATAGTATGAAGAAGGGCACTCTTGTCTTATCCTGGGGCTACTGAGAAACCTAGCTTAGGCCGGCTGCCAGGATCAGCAACTCATCATGGGCTTTATACGCCTCGTTGTCCGGTCTATGCTGTAGAGATCATTGTTTCGAGGTTCGTAGAGACGGTAGAACTCTTCAGTGCGAGAGTATACACTCTGAAACGAAGGGTCTTCTTGAGCGCAGGGGTTCTCATGCAGAAGCTCATGCAATTCTGGTCTTCCGTGGGTGTTCATGTCATCGTTGTGAGCCTGGATACACGACGCCCGAAACAGTTTAGGCTGAGTTTCCTCGACCGACGCTTGCGGCCTGACAGTTTAAACCCAAGTAGTTGTGAGTTTTGACTGGGGAACCATTGAACCAGGTGCTAAAGATCTGCACCATTTTAGTGTTCTCTTTGTACAGTACAGACGATATCCACTTTTGTTGCCTTCGGGCGAGTGCTTGGAGTATGCATCTTCATGCAGACAAAAGTCGGTGCGATTCAATCTTGGGGTGGCGCTGCTTTCGGCAGGTGACATAAGTTTGTACCTCGCAGACATGTGGGTGGTTGTCAATATTAGGGTCCTTTTTTGGGTCCTTATTATAATAGGGCACCTAATATTTAGGGTCCCCAAAAAGGGACCCTAATTTTGACAACTACCCATGTCTCAGATGCCCCCGAGCCCCAGCATCGAAGAGAGAGAGAGAGAGAGAACCGGAAAGATGCAGAGAGCGAGAGTCACAGACCGCGGTGCCCAGCTTCCTATCCCAAAGCCCTCCAGGCTTAAAGCCTAAGCCCTACACCCTTAATCGAAACGCAGGTATCGCTCTGAATCAGTTGCTCCGAAGTCTCACAAGAGGCATCCTATAAGTCCTCCTGCATTCGCGAATCACACTTCTGAAAAGGGTCTTGTAGGGATGTTCTGTGGGTTCGGTAAGGGAATTTACAAGGGATTGATAAGGGTTTCCAAACATGAAGAAGCAGAGAACCACTGTTCAAGCCCCCAGATAGAACCCCAGAGAGGCACCGCAAATTCCAGGGCAGCCTTGCCAAAGGCTGCCCAGTAAGGATTCCTTTCAGGTTTATAGGTGCTGGTAGGTGCGGTTGTAAGCTACATGTACCTTAACCGGGCTTTCGTGTAGTTCCCCTGAGCTTGCATGAAAGCACGAACCCCCCAACACTGTGAAAAGTCATATCACAACCCGGTGTACAAAATCTCCAATGGCATGGATCTTCGAGCCATACCCTAATCAAACTTGCTATTGGCTTTGAGAACGGTTTCGTACTGGGGAACATTTAGCTGTGCGACTTCTGTAGTTGCCCCTAAACCCTAAAGCCCCTCAGCCCTAAACCTTCAAACCCTAAACTCTTAACATTAAACCCTAAACCCTAAAAACCTCTAAACTCTAAAACCTTAAAGCCCTAAACCCTAAACCTTGAAAGAAAGCCAGGCCTGATCGTCCGGCGCAGTGCCGCGACGGCCACCAAGGAGGTGGAGGTCGTGGGCGCGGGCCCTAGGTGAGCATTTGGTAATGTAGGAACCTGATTATGAAACCTTGGGCCTTTAGTAGGGTTCCTTGTGTGAATCCTACTGTTTTGGGGTTATAAGACTGGGGTTTCCTAATCAGGTTCCTACATGAAGCTTTAGTTGGAGGTTCATGGGTAGTTATAAGTCGGGTCCTGTGTAGGATATCTCTAACAGTTCTAACCAACATTAAAGGTCGGCTTAAATCTACCCACCCAGAGAGCCCAATACCCCTTAACTAAGGAATATAATTTAAATCGAAATATGAATCCCCTTAACTTAAGGTATATTCCTTAATTAAGGGGTATTTGGGCTCTCTGGACGCGAAACTCCGCATAGGGGTTGCAGGGCTCAGGTGTTCAGAAACTTAGAGGGGTTTTGGGCTTTCGGCTGCAAGCTTGGGGTTTGAAATCTGCAGCGCATGTTCTCGTCTTGGAGTTTGGGGACCCCGGACTCCAAAAGACGGTTAGCTACAAGTTTATACTGTGCATATACAGGGTTGCACAAATTTGATGGATTGTTATACCTGTTAGTAGACCATGTGCAATTTGAATACTAGGTGGGCTCTTATATGATTTCTGGTACATTCCTCAAGCAAGAATGGATGTAGTCTGTGTGTTCCATGGCGCAGATGCCCAATCCTGCTTGAAGACCTCTTCGAAATTTAGTGGGTACTTGCATTTCGGAGATGCTCTTCGTTCAGTCCTACATTAAGTCCGGTGAAGCTTATAACACCTTCCGTTTTCCCCACCCCAAACCCAAACTCCAAACCCTGAGCCCCAGACCCTAAGCCCCAAACTCAAACCCCAAACCCTAAATTGCCCTAAACCCCAAACCCTAAACCCCAACCCCGAAACCCTAAGCCAAGCCCCAAACCCTGAACTCCAGACCCAAAGCCCCAAACCCCAACCCCAAACCCTAAACTTCCCTTAACCCCAAACCCCGGAAGCCCTGACTCGAAGTCCCAAACTAAGCCTCAAATCCTAAGCCCCCAAAAAAACATCAAACCCTAAGCCCAAACTAAACCTCAAACCCTAAGCCCGAAACCGATGATGGGATCCCCGAGGCCTCACCGGCGAGGGCCGCTTTCCAGGCGCCTTTGCGCCAGCCCCGAAGCCAGACTTCCTGCTCCGGCGGCTCGAGGTACCGCCTTTGATGGTTAGGGGTTTAGGCTTTAGGGGTTTAGGGGTTTAGTGATTTAGGGTTAAGGGGTTTGGGGTTTCGGGGTTGGTTGAGGGGTTCAGGATTTAGGGGTTTAGGGTTAAGGGGTTTAGGGGTTTGGGGTGTAGGGGTTCAGGATTTAGGGGTTTGGGGTGTAGGGGTTCAGGATTTAGGGGTTTAGGGTTAAGGGGTTCAGGGGGTTGGGGTTTAGGAGTTCAGGATTTAGGGGTTGAGGGCTAAGGGGTTTAGTGGTTTGGGGTTTAGGGGTTCAGGATTGGGAGGTTTAGGGGTGTGGGGTTTAGGAGTTTAATTTAAGGGTAAGGGGTTCAGGATTTAGGGGTTTAGGGGTTAAGGGTTTGGGGTTTAGGGGTTTTGCGTTTAGTTTGAAATTAGCTGCTCAAGATTGTTGTTGATAGGGCTTTAGTAGTGGTCTACGTGATTTCTTTGATGGTTGTTAACTATGAGGTGTATAGTTGTGTTGTAGGGTGTGTTGAGTGGGTTTTCTATACGGCTTTCTGGGGCTTGCGCTATGTCGTATGGTTTCCATTATATTAATGATTACGCAGAGGCCCCAAAGTAGTTCCTTTTGGGGGCTCATATATAGAATCCTAGAAAGTAATCCCAAAAAGGAACTACTTTGGGGCCTATGAGTAGTGTTTCAAGAAATCGGTTTAATAGGGTTTAAACAAGCATCGCTATTAGCCACGGAAGCGCACCATCAGCTCTGAAACCCTAAACCCTCGGCCTTTAACCCTAAACCCTAAGCCCTGGGCCTTTAACCCTCAACCCGAAACCCTGGGCTTGTACCCCTAAACTTTAAACCCTAAACCCTGGGCTCTTACCCCCAAGCCCTAAACCCTGGGCCTTTAACCCTAAGCCCTAAAG